GGGTGGGGGGGGGCTAAGAGGGAGTGTCTGCAAACGCGTTTACGCTGTTTTGCGCCGAGGACGTTACGTGTCACGGTGGGCCTTGGTTTGGATTTATCTCGTGTGGAAGCCTGGCTTCAGCCGTTTCCTTCACCTTCACCTGTCAGGGTTATGATGCGTGATGTTTTTGCTTCTTCGCATTTGTATACGGGTGGTATGAATCTCGTCTGTCATGCGCCTGTCGCGTTCGGAGGTGGCGTGGGATTGGGGCTCGGGGGGCTCGGCGTGGCCGTCGTCGTTTAACGAGCCGGGGTTCATCATGGATGGGTGAAAGAAAGGAATTCTCGTTTGAAGTTGATGCGGAATCGTAGGGTATCCACGAGGAATGTGCCGCATGACTGCTGCGTCGTCGCTCGTTTTCGACCTCGCCTGGGTTCAGTCACCCATTTTTTGGTGGCGGTGATCCGTGGTCGAGGTTCGGCTCGAGTCATTCCACGGACCTCATTATTTTTTTGGCTCGTCGTTTCAGATCTGGAAAGCTGTGATTTTTCGTCGCTGGATGCGCACGTGGTGTCCAGCCTCCTGAAGAAGTACTTGAGGGAATTGCCGGACCCGGTCATTCCGGTTCAGTGGTACGACAAGTTCCTCGAAGCGGCACGTAAGTCCCGGCTCGCATTTCGATTCGGCGCGACCTCGGTCGGTGGATCGGTGACGACGTCTGTCGCCCGCATAGGGATCCGCGACGAGGATCAGAGTGCGGCCTGCCTGTGCCAGTTGTGCCTGGCGATCCCGGATGCTCATCGGAGGACGCTGGAGACGCTGATGGCGCACTGGTGCCGGGTCTGTCGGCACATGCACGCGCAGGGGCAGACGCAGCCGCCGATGGTGCTCGTGCAGACGCTGGGGCATTTGCTGCTAAGGCCGCCGTGGGAGAGGATCATGTGAGCATTCCACGGTCTTCTTTTGGGGGGGATGTCACGAATGCCGCGGAGTGTCGTGATGGCGCGGTGGGGGTTTCTGTAAACGGCATGCGGATCCGCCGGGTCGAATCGCGTGTCAGATAGTGGATTCTATGTAAATCGGTTAAATCTTGGGAATCGTCTGCAGTCGTTGGAAGGATCTTGTGGGTTACAGGTATGACTGCAATTCCAGGTTATTATTTATGAAAAGATTTTTATTCTTTCATTATATTTTATAGGACGCACGTTTTGGTTGCTTTTCGAATTGCATCATCAGCTCCTTAGTAGAAATATTTTATTTTAAAAATTCAGGCACGGGTTGAATTCATGTTGAATGCAGGGCAAATTTATTTATATTATTTAGTTATTTTTTTGCCAGTGTGGAAGTTCCAAACTTCTTTCGAGCTGCGTTCGGTCTTGCCGTGAATTACTTTCGAAAAGAATCGGTGTTCCTTTTCGCTTCTGGATGGTTTCTTCATTCTGTTCCCTAGGTCTCACGTGAGAACCAGTTTTCCTTCCCCATATTTTACACGGAAAGACTTTCTATTCTCGTCGAGATCTTTACCCGTCGGTTCATGCATCATGTATGTTCTCCGTCGGTCGGTTTCTCGATACGGTCATCGACAGGACGTGCGGAAAGTCACCGACTAATTTATATGCTCTTCGGTCTCCTTTCGGAGCGAATCGTCTCGAACGACGAGGACGTTCTTCGATGCGCGAACGATGGGCGAAGGAAAACGGCGAAGCGAATTCCAATAGAAAAGCACATTCCAGGTTCCTGTCGCTGGATGCGTGGGCGCGGAGTCATCGACTGTACGGTAGGTGACCGAAAAATTGGCAAGAATTTGAGGCTGCCATCCGTGAGGATGTCGATTCCGTTCGTGGTCGGAGGAAGCCGTCTTGAATATCGTCTAGCGGTGGACTCGTGGCTAGGAAATGTTTCCCTGAGTGTTACCTTTCTGGTTCTGATATGAAGTAGGTCCAAAATGTTTTTATACTTTGGAAATTATTTATGATAAAAAAGTATATTGTCGGTGACTTCTTACAACTCGTGACGCCGAGGTAGTCTGAGGAAGTCCGAAACTAATGAAGATTCCCACTGCTAATCTACAGGATGTTTTGACGGGCTTAGAGTAATCTTATTATTGGGGATTAGAAATATTTTATGAGAAGGATGATGACGTTAGCCTATGGTTCGGCATGTATACGTAATTCTCCGACGAGCCGAAACCGACGTCAGCAGTCGGGACGCACGGGAGAATGCCCTAATCTCTGCAGGAGAAAGCCGAAGGTCCCTTCGGATTCAAAGTCGACGCATTCCGGTGCGGGAAAGCATAAATCGTGAAAGTTGGACGAGGTCCCACTTTTCTTCTTCTCGTCTGGGTTTTCCATCGCCGACATCGCCTTCCCTTTCGATGGATGATGGATCGAGACGTTGCACGTCGCGGTTGTTATTAGCCGATTCGGTGAGAGTGGGTGTCCGTTCGTGTCTGCAGCCAAGTGGTGTACAACATGGAGCTGCACATGCGGATGGTGGAGCTGCTGCTGCTGAAGGGAGACTGGGGGGAGGAGATGCCGGAGTTCGCGTCGGCACCGGCCTTGCCTCCGCGTCGACCGACGTTCTCGAAGACGCTGGAGAAGGAGAGGGGTTCCCCGTCCACGCCCCCCGCGTCCACGCCCGATCCCAAGCGGGCGCTGCAGGAGGCCGAGTGGTATTGGGGGAACATCACGAGGTGAGGGTGGTGGAGGGTCGCGAGCGACCGGGTGGTCGGTGTTCCGTTCCGCGTCGTCCACGGAGTCGGTCGGTGTTGCAGGGAGGAGGTGAACGAGAAACTCAAAGACACTCCCGATGGGACGTTCTTGGTCCGAGATGCGTCCAACAAGACGGGGGAGTACACGCTGACGTTACGGAAGGGCGGGAGCAACAAACTCATTCGAATCTCGGAGAAGGACAATCACTACGGCTTTTCGGAACCGTACAGCTTCTCGTCGGTGGTGGAGCTCGTGAATTATTATCGGAACGTCTCCCTGGCTCAGTACAACCGCACTCTGGACGTGAAGCTCACTCATCCGGTGTCCCGCTTCGGACAGGTTTGTGGCTTCTCGTCCGACTGGTTCCCCCTCGTTTTACGGACGGGTATCTGCCCGTCGGATCGCATTCGCATTCTCCGTTCGTTCTGCGCGACGGAATCGATGATTCGCTCCTCGTCTCGGTCGACAGGTGGTGGAGGAGGACATGGAAGTGAACGTGGAGGCCCTGGAGAAGAGGTTACAGGACTTGAATCGGGAGTACCTGGTGAAGAGCAGGGACTTCGACGACATGTTCGAGGAGCACGGTCGGTTCTCGTCGGAGCTGCAGATCAAGCGGCAGGCGCTGGAGGCGTTCAACGAGGCCATTGCGATGTTCACGGAGCAGATGAAGGTGGCCGAGGAGGCGCAGAAGGATGCATCCACTTATATATACAACAGGTGCGGGGGAGGGGTGGTCTGGTCTCGTGGGTCTGGGTCGGGGCGTGAGGGACGCGTGACGTGGATGTCGTCCGTGGATCGTTTTAGCTTGCAAGAGAACTATAAGCTGCTGAGGAGTCGGGTGCACGACATCCAGGAGAACAAGAATCGGCTGGAGGCGGACGTGCAGAATCAGACGGCCCACATACGCTCGTTGGACCGGGAGATGAATGCCCTCAAGCCAGAGATCATTCAGTTGTACAAACAGCGAGAACAGTGTCATAGGTAAAAGGCGAAGTTTTTTTTGTTTTTAATATGGGTTTGGGTGCTCGAGAGAGGAGCAGGGGATTCACGATCGAATCGTTTCCTTTCCCGGGTGAAGCCGTCTCGTGAGCCAGGGCGTGAGTCACGACCGAGTGAACGAGATCCTGCAGGCGTCTTCGACGGAGAACATCGCGCCGTACGTGCACGAGGACTCTCTGTACGTGGACGGCCTGCACTCGTCGGGGCTGGTGGAGATGCCGGCGTCGCCGCCGATGGACGGGCCGGCGTCTTTCCTGGACGAGAATCTCTGGTATCTGCCGACTTGTACGAGGCAGGAGGCGGAGAGGCTGCTGGAGGGGAAGCCGCACGGGACGTTTCTCATTCGGAAGTCGACGAGGAGTAGCGGATATGCGCTGTCCATTGTGTGAGTGTTTTCGTCGGGGATGTGTTCGCGGGGTCGCGGGTCCCTTGGGAATCGTATTCGATGGAGGCGAAATGCAGTAGAGCCGATCTGGGAGTTGGGAGGGGCGGTAAGAAAGTGGTCTTGCCGCTCGCTTGGAAGGTGAAATGCGATTATTGCAGAAAGGCTGCTTTTAGAGTTGGTTGTCGATCCTACCGTGATTCGTAACAGAGTCTTGCTTTTTTTTTCTGTACAAGACTCTAGTAATTCATCCCGGGTATAGTGTCTTTATTTTGAGGGTTTAACGTTAAGGTCAGACGTCAAGAGGTAACGGACTTAAGAAATAAAAAAATTCGTGTTTTTTTTTTCCTCATTCGGGAACATATTCCAATGTTTTTTTTTTCGGGAGGGGGGGGGGGGGAAAGGAATTCATAATTGGGGGACCAAACCCATATTAAAAACAAAAAAAACTTCGCCTTTTACCTATGACACTGTTCTCGCTGTTTGTACAACTGAATGATCTCTGGCTTGAGGGCATTCATCTCCCGGTCCAACGAGCGTATGTGGGCCATTAAGTAGCCATTCTGACCATAAGACCAGAAATAGAATGATCAATCGATAGCTGCACTTGAGTGCAGAGGTAACCTAGTAGCCGTTCTGATCGTGAAACTTTTAGAACCTTGCATGCAGAGATGATATATCGAATTTAGAAGAGCATTTCCACGTTTCATCTCGGGTCTCGCATTTCCGTGCAGGTGCTCCGACAAGGTGGGTCACTGCCTGATCATCAGTTCGGAGCGAGGCGTGGGATTCGCCGAGCCCTACGACATGTATCCGACGCTGCGAGACCTGGTCGAACATTACATGCACGTGTCGTTGAGGAACCATAATTCGCAGCTGCCGACGACGCTGGCGTACCCGGTCCGAGCCGCCCCGGTCGAGTACGTTCGGCCCAGCTGAGACGCCGTGACGTCGCGGTGGGACCGGACCGTGTGTGTTTTTTCGAGAGTCCTCGGTGGAGGACGGTCTGTGGTGGCCTCCGGTGCCAAAACGGAGGGAGAAGGAAGATCTCTGTGCGTTGCTCGGTTTCTCTGTGGAGGTGAAGCTAGTCATGGCTCGGGGGTTCGTCGCTGCACGTTCTTGCCTCGGCGTTTTCTCTTTGTCTCGCGCGAGCGAGGGTTTCGTCTGAGTTCCGAGCGAGGATTTTTTTTTTCTTCTTCTTCGTCGGTCGTCGTCGTCGTCCCGAGGCGGTGTCGAGGAAGTGGGTGTTTCGTCTTCCTCTTCCTCTCGATTATTTTTCTGCAAATTCTGATATGACAGAAGCTTGCCTGAGAGTGTGTTGGAATAAAAGGATGCAATTTTTTCATACTCGGTCTGTCGTTCGAACGGCCTGTGGCGTCGAGTCGCGGGACGCGTTTGTTGTGAAACGCGTGTGGAGAAATCGGGATCGCGTATTTGCGATCGTGCGTCTTGGAACAGAGCGGACGGCGTGGTTCGTTTGTATGAATGCGGGGGTGGAGCGGGGAGAATGCAGAATTGCACGGTCGAAAAAAAAAAGATGTTTGGATCCGGTCCTGCGTGCAGCCGTGCAGGCACTCGAGAGACGCGATGGAAGAACTTTTTGAAAGATGTGAGAATGACGTTCTTGTTGCCTGATCCGAGGCAGCAATGCAGATGAGAGTCCGTCTCGAATCGGCTCGAAAAAGATGGAATTTTCCGCGGAAGGCCGTGTGCGTTTTCGACGCCCGCGTTCGCGACGAGCCGATGTCGTCGATGATCGAATCGATCGGTAATCGATGGGAGTCCTCGGTTGATCGGTCGGACCGATTTGTCGATCGTGGAGTCCCGTGAAGATTTGATATCGGTATTTAAATAAATAAAAAAAAGTTCCAAGTTATTGTTGGCCTTGCCGACCCGAAAGCTCTCTGGCCACCCATTTTAAACGTAGGAGGGAAAAAAATTTAACGACCGAGTGCGAATCGTGCGGAATGAAAATCGACGAAAAGAAAATCCCGCTCTCGGGTTTCGTCTGCGAGCGAAATCGATGAGAGAAAATGTCAGGAAAATTAATCGGACGGAAAGGACCTTCGCATTTCCGCGACAGGAAAATCGGGAGTTGCTTCTGGGGCAATGCACTGTCGAGCACCAGATTGCCTTTATCTGTTGTATCCCACGCGATGGAAACTCTTCACTCTGAAGTTTTTTTTTTTTTCCTCGTCTGTGATCGACCGGCGTCGAATTCGTTTCCGTGCGAGTGGGAAGAGATCCGTCTTTTTTTTTTTTTTTTTTTGCTCTACTGCACTTGAGAAATGAGATAATTTTTCAAATAGCGATACGACCGCGTCTGTCCCAAGCTTTTTTTTTTCTTCATAGAGGATTCGAGGGGGGAAATTGCTCGGAGGATCTCGAAAAAATTTCTCGCGATTTTTTTTGCATCTCGTTCGATCGATCTGACGACATTGAGTGGCTCCAGGTGCTGTTGGCTTCCAAATTCCTCTTCCAAATGTTTTTTTTTTTTTGACGAGAAATTTGCTTGAATGGCGATTGGGAAGGTCTTTGGGGAGGGAGGAGGAACGTGGCCCGGAGAATGCCATTAAGCAATCAGCTTAATGGCGATGGATAACAGATTGGGCCGGTCCAGATGGTCTGGAGGGGATTCAGTGGGGCTTCAATTTGCGTGTGATTAATAAAGTTTTATTATCATTATCTATTTGCATTAGCTTGGTGGCTGCTTCTGTTTGCGGTGCTGCCCGGACAAGCCTTCGCCCCTTGCAGGTTTATTTTTGATGGAGATTTCGCTCTTCGTATGCAAATGTGTGCAAATTGCACTTTGTGCAAAGTGGCTACCTATGAGCAGCTTTTTTTTTCTTATTAAATCTGGGGGAACCAGCTTTTATTTTTGTAGGCTGTTTTTCATTAGACCTCGGAATGATGTCACATCTTTTGTTCTTGCTAATGTGGCTGAGAATTAATTTACCACGCCCTTTAACAAGTTAAGTTGGAAGTTCAGACATGAAATGCAGCATTCCGATTTGTCGGCCGGGGCAAACGATCTCGAGATTTTAATTCCTTGTGATTTTTTTTTTCTCTGAGGCTTTTTAAAAGGCATTGTTTATGACAAGTCATTGAGCCAATTTGTGGAGTAAATGCCGAATTTTTTTACGATTTTGAATCCCCAAAATGCTCTATTATTCAATCAATATCGTGATAACTTGGAGAAGTTGTTGCAATTAGGTCGAAAGGCAAAATTTTCCTCGAATCGTTTTCCGAATTTCTTCTCCATTCAAATGAAAAAAAAAATCATAAAACACCAGTTGTTGGAAATTAATTATCGGTCATCCCAATGTGGATGGAGAAAAGATCTGACGCTTTTCCGAAGTCGGTACGTTGTCGGTCTACAAAAGTAAAAAAAGAATAAATAAATAAATAGGCTACTTCAGGGTCGATAACTGAACGACGGCTTCTATCGCATCGCGTTTTTCGAGCGGATTCTCCGAAAGAAGACTGCCTAGTATGTCGCTCTAAAAAATATTTCACGTCATTCGTCTTCAATTGTGGTAAATTGCCTATTCGCTGGGTGCATTAAGTTGGAGACATCTGGCGGCAGGAAGCATAAAAATGAGCTGGAGGGAGTCGAGCGCGGAAGCTTCGATGCGTTTCTTATGGAAACTTTTTTTTTTACTACGAAAATGCTTCTTTTTTTTTGCCAGAGGGATTTCCTAAGGCCAAGAGTGAGTGATTATATAGTAAGTAATTGATGGGCTGAAGTTTCTATTTGCAGCATCCAGACGGCCTGAAAGGTCTGTTATGAAGTTTTTTTCACTCTAGACCTTCGCTTTCCATGGGCCTATGAAAATCAAATTTGGCATTTGCCGTCACAGGATAAATAGCCAATATTAACCCTTGACCTGATACGTTTTATCATGAGGTCAGGGCCGGATTAAGGGGGGGGGGGGGCAAAGGGGGCAGTTGCCCCGGGCCCCACTCTTCCAGGGGGCCATCGAGGGAAATGAAAAACGTTAAGTAGGGGGGGGGGGGGGGTAGCTCCAAGAATCCACTTGCCCGGGGCCTCGCAAACTCTTAATCCGGTACTGCTGTGGTACTAATCCAAAAAGGGTTTCTGTCATGGGTTATGATTTACGCCATTGAAACACAATGATATGAAAAAAGCTAGCAGCACTTAAGGGAATACAGAGGCAATGGGAGTCAAAACTTCAAGTTTAAAGCCGTTTCCCGTTGTAGTGAATTCTATCAGGAACTGGAAGATATTAATAATATCCCACTCGTATCATGCACACGTACCTCATGTACCTCATGGAATCATGTACCTCACCGAGGCTCATGATTCCATGGAAATCCTTACATTGGTGAGTGGCTTTGAGGAAAACCTGCACCTCCTCTGAAGGTGAAATTTGATTAAGGATCGAACCACGTTTTTTACACACCCCTCAACTCCGTCGCATTTATAACACGTTTTACTTCGGCTAGAAGCTCCCTTTATCAATGTCATGGCTCTCAAGTTTCGAGAATAAATTGGGAGGAGCCCCACGCGAAGGATTGTACGATTCTGTGTAAGACATGGAGTGCACCCGGCGAATAGGAATGTCCGTGACGAAATGAATCCGAATGGCTGGAATCCTAGAAAATTGACCCGGTCTGGACGGCTCGATTCGCGATCTCAGATAGCCGCGGATCCGAGAGTTGACAGGTTTGACAGGCCGTCCTGGGAAGCGGGACATCTTGATAATTAATAACCTGAATCCCAAGAACTCGCCATTCTGGAAAAGACTAGTCGAAATATGGCTTTTTTGAGGTGAGGAAAGGAAGGGGAAGAGGAGCAGTGGTGACAAAGGAAATGAGCAAGCTCAGCTCCTTCATTGATTAAGATTGGTCCTTTCGATGACTGAACGAACTAGAATTTTTATAATTATTTTATATATATTTTTTATTTTGCTAGACTGAATGGCGGGCCGTATTTTGCCCACCACTGGTCCATGATAAAGAAGTCGCTCGTAGGTAGTTCCTTTGTGGGCTGTATGTTAATGTATGTTGTATTTTACGCCGTCATATGTTATGCATATATGCCGTTATACTGTCTGTTTATGCGTTGCGCCGAACCGCTCTCGGGAATCGCAAGGAATGCGTTCTTTCTGAATGACTGGCGGTCGGGAACGTCGAAAAAAATTGGCAACGTCGGTACTTCGCCGAGTGGGAGGGGAAGAGCACTGCGAAACAAAGCCGATCGAATCTACGGCACGAAAAACGGGAATGAAACATGCAAAAAAAATGTAACTGCGTTTCGCACGTACTTTATTGCTCTGAAAAATGGTTTGGACCTCGGCGCTGAGTCTTAGAAGCGCGCCGAAGGCGATGGGAGGAAGGAGGGAGAACAGAAGACGGATCGTAGAGAATGGAGGATGAAGGGTGGAAGATGTAGGATGAAGGATGGAGGCTTTAGGGTGGAGGATGGAGGATGTAAGACGAAGGATGGATCACCGAGGCGGGTCACCTCGAGAGGATGACGGGATGACGGGAATCGCGGAATCATCCTCCGCGAATCTCGACGTTCCTTTTCTTTCCCCTTCTGCGTCCCGTCGGGAGATCGAGGGGATTTCGAAGGAAGATTCGTCTGTGGATTCTTCGTGTTCTTTCTTGATGTGTTCCCCGGCCTGCTCGTTTTCCTCGGCCCTTAAGGTTCGTCGGATACACCACTGGCCAAAAAAAAAAAAAAATTCGGCCTGGAAAATTCCACATGTTCGCTACTGCCGACATGAATCCACCAAGCGTCAAGGTGACCGACATGAAAGAAACACGATCCATACGAGGAAAATGTTCCACTTTCCTCATCGACACTTCATTTTTTCTGACATTTCCTCTTACGGAAACTGCATTGATTTTCCACTCAGACGAATCCTTTGAGAAATAAGTTTATTTTCCTCATTTTTTTTTTATCCCATTCGATTCAGCGATTTTTTTTTTCCAAGTTTAAATCCTGGGAGTCTTCGCAGAGATGGAGTTCCAGGATCTTTCAGGTCGGCAAAGACTCCCAGAACTTTTATAAAGTAAGTTTAGGTTATTATATATTTATATTATCTTGTATCTATGTGCTCGCATATTTATTATTATTACAGTATATATACAAATGAGATATTTACTTAAATAGAAGGAAGAAATAAACAAAATTGATTGAAGACTTCGTACATGCCGCATCGAACTCAATCTCAGAGGTTTTTTTTTCACTTCGGTCCCTTGTAAATCCCGTTGTAAACCCTCATTGTGCTTTTAAGATTATCCGCACCCACCCCCTCCCCCCCCCACCCCCCTATCTCCTACCACCAGTCGGCGATGAAATCGATATATCGCGATATCGTCCCGTGACGAATATCGTGCACCCGATGCAAGAGTCATCCATTTCCTTCTCCCCAGCCTCAGCAATCTGGGATCTTCCGAATTTCCTCTCCTTCCCTGTCGAATGAGTCTCTCTCTCTCGAGAGTGCCCACTTCACCTCTGCACTTATCCGAAGGGATCTGATTGCACGATAACGGGTCTGTTGCACCGAACCATCGGTATCCGTCGATCGTCCTTGGTTTTAACGAACGGATTTCCTTCTCGTCCACCACGCGCACGATAAGCCCAGATGATCCACAATTTTTTTTTGTTCTGCTCCATCTTTATAGATTTTATTCGGTATTCCGGTCGTCGTTAGTCCGCTCCAGGCGAGTGGCCTGCGCGATATTCAGGGCTAAAATTATTAAATTTTATTTACGCCAAAAAAAATAAAGTTATCATTTTCGGTAATTTTGTATTTGGTAATTTGTCAATCTGATGGTATGTAGCCGATTTTGATGACATTTGGTATGCACATAGGGTGGTTCGATTAGGGTTTGTGTGCCAAGTTTAAAAAAAAAATTCCAAAAACTATGAGATTGGCATTTAATTTACTTTTCATCATAAAAAAGTAAGTGTTCATTTTATCTTTCGGTTTAAAAATTCTCACAACTGACAAAAACAAACAGAACAAAAACAGATGCACAAATGACAAACACGAAAGCGCACAATTTCGTTTAGGGGCGTTTCAATTTCAACTGAAAAGATGCTCGACATTGAACACTAGCCTCTAGTCCATAAATCAATATTAATCGATATTAAATACGCCTTTGAGGCGGTGCCTCCCTTGCATCCTGGGCTCGAAGTTATATCGAGATTTTCGACAGCACGTTTTGTTGCTGGTCATCAGAAAATAATTAAAACTCTTTTAATTTTAAAGCCAGATGGCTGAAATTTGGTATACAAACCCCAATGGTTTCACCCTATAAGCTTACCAATTTTAATCAAAATTGGCAGTCTACGAAGAGATTGACGACTCACTAAAAAAGATAGCTTTTTTTTGGCCCACCCTGTATATTTGAAGAGCTGAACGAGGAAAAGTTGTCTGTATATAAAGAAATCTGTTGTCTCGAGCTCCACGCGGAAAGAGCGAATATTACCGTGCCCGTCTTCTTACAAGTGGGAAAAAGCGATACGGATAGATGGACCAGTTTTTTGTGGGTTTTTTTTTATAGATTTTTTTGCGGCTAGATCCTCCTTTTCTTTTGGGCCCTTCATTCATTCGAAAGGGATCTCCGTGTGTTCGTGGACATTTTACGTCAGCACAACGTACGACCCGCGGGCCGCAAACGGCCCGGACGTGACCAGTGTTGTAGGTGGTATTATGGCTCCTGCTCTGTTGGCTACAGCTACGGTCAGCCAGACTGCGGCCCGCGGTATGTGAGTAAAAATCGCAAATAACACAGTCTTTCGAGTTTTTCACCCCTGTTTTAAGCGTTTCCAGGGCGGATATTAATGCTTCGTCTCGTCCGAACGGCAACAGGCGGGCAACAATGGCTGCGTGGCTAATGAATAATTCGCTAATCCATGAGTAGTCTCTCCATGCTGAAAATTCGTCTAATTACGAATAGCCGAGATTTCATTTTTGGTAATTCCTTGCTTCAACCATCCCGAGTAAACCAAGAACGTTCCGGAGGACGCTCAACCCCGGCTCAAAGAGGTTCCTTGACGTTCAAGGTTGAGGGATGAGCAGCTTTTGAACGCTCAATTAAGGTTTCATCACCAATTAAGGTTTCATCACCAGTGCATGACGTTCTTGAAAGATTTTCATTGAACGTTTAAGGAGGTGTTTTTCGTGAGCGTAACTGTGATATCCATCTGACAGTGGCCAGAAACAAAGGTTCACACAACTGGCGCTAGATGACGTCAAAGTAGGAGCTATTACGAGTCGGTACCCCTTACAGCTGGAACGTGTCTGTAATACATTCCCGGAAGTGCCTGATCGTTTCCACCGCAGAGAAAAGCATTGGAATCCTGCAAGAAATCGGTCTCACGAGATAACCCAGACCAACGAGTCTCTAGGGAACTCCGGCTCGGAGGATGGAGGAAGCGATGGTTCGGTTTCCAAGGTTTCATGGGAGAGTGAAGGAGGCAGAAACTCGAAGCGGATTATGTCTATTCTCGTGCTGTGAAGACGGATGGTGTACTTTCTATCTTATAAATCTTTCTCCGCGTTCGTCTCCGGCGCAGCGGAGGAACTGCTCACGTGATGGATGTACCAAAGAGAGTTCTGCGTCGGAGAAAGGACTCTCACTCGCATGCAAGGCTGAGTGCACCGTCGTCCCTACGTGAGAAAAGATCGTACTTCCGATAAGAATAATTAGTTGCGTGATTGCTTATGACCCCTGTCATGGAAGAAGAGCTTTATTTGGGATGAATGCAATCCTTTGCCGTTTGGGAATATTCAATTCACGTAATTTGAACAGTTTTTGATCGCCTTAAATTTCGGACATTTGAGCAGTCAAGGAACGTTCTCAAGGACGTTCAGGGAACAATAATTTAAATGAAACGTTCATCGAACATACATTAAACGTTCCGGTGCCCATAAAATGCATGAGTATCCCCTACTGTAAATCCCCAGATGGAAATTATGAAGTAGTAATCGCGGAACTCCTGACCTGAAAAGTTTTAGTTTTGGTTAGTCTCGGTCACCTGCGGACGCGTGAACCATCGAGCATCGAGTGAAAAAAAAATCTAAGTTTCACTTTCAAATGAATCGAGAGAATGTGGAAAACTCAATGAAGTGGCGATCGTCAGACTGTCAAATTCAGATCTTGGTATTTTTCATCCGCTCGCTTTAAAGACTCGCGAATATCGTGAACGGCCTTTTTCTTCGTCAGACGAGCGGCGATCGTGCAATGAAAACGTCTCAATTTAGACGCATCGACATTTCCTGTACTGTCGGTCTTTTTCGATGGTGGTAACGTATACCCCTATTTCTCGACATATCATGGAAAATTGAGAAATACCATGTAAACGGAATAGACATTGAAAGAACTCAATCTGATTGGGTGACTTACAAGTGTGTTTTCATAATTTGTGTCTTCAGTCGACCCTCGATATATCGTCACTGCTGGTCGTCGCTGATTTTGGCGCTATATCGAATGATACCATTAGCATATCGCAGTATGCTAATGGCTACGCCACCGAATCCTCCGAAGTCTGTATTGCCGTCCTCTGTCCCCTCCGATGCTCTTTGCTTGTCCTTTGCACTATCCATTCCGCGGCAACGAGTTACTTCTCACGGTGGCAACAAATATTTAGCTGCGTTTAATACTGGACGAGGGTTGTGGCAGATATGCTTTTTGGCGTAAAATCGAAGAGAACTCATGTGGAGAAAAGTATTTCTACAATTTACGGAGCCGGCAGATGATGGTATACCGATTGACGTTATATGGAGGGGTCATCGCATTCGTATGCATAGACTTGTAGGCGTTTTGACCTGAAATCAGCATTTCTTCCAGAAATTTCATTATACACAGCGGCCACATGGAATTTTCCCCCATTTTGTTAATTTATCTAAATACGTCATCATACATACAATCTCAATTGTAGTTAATCCCCTCACGCTACACCGAGTCCATAAAAATACATTTACATCAGGATCACAGTGTGATCTGTCTTATGCCCAGAAAGAACTAGCTTCGAAGACCATGCTAATATTTAGCCATGATGCCAAAATAGGATTTTTATTAAGCATTTCTAAGGGAAGGAGAGAAGTCCGACGAATATTTAACCAGTGTTTAAAGAGGACACTTAATTAACCTGTTAAATACGTGTATCTCTTCGTTACACCAGCGAAATGAGCCTGATATGCACAATGGGACTGGCACTACAGAGTACTTCGTAGCTGTTGCACTGGTGAGTACTTAAAAAAGGCACTCATCACACTTGCCACATTCAGGTCATGTTCACACGAAGTAGTAAGTCAAGTGAATGGTCGAGGAGTGTAACTCTCTCGGGAAGCGATCGGCTGGAGTGTAACGCCTGCCGATTTACCATCGTCTGAGGACTTCGCATCTTTCATCGTCGTATCGCCACCCAAGGGGTATTTCCCACGGTGTCTGCCGAACAAGAGTCCCAGCTGAAGATTCCGCACCGTCTGAAAAACAAGCACTTTTTACTACAAGTTTCACTGCGGAAACTGCTCGAAAGAGAGTTAAGACTTTCGGGGACCTTGGAGGGAAAGCCGTAACCGTCCTCGTGAGACTTGGAACCGTCCTCGTAGGACTTCTCTCCAGAAGACGACCGAGTCGCGTCGACCGCAGTGTCCTGGAATGGCTCGGGGCCGAACCAGCTGAGCATGACGGGGAGGTAGATGAGACCGTGATAGAGGCCATATAAAACCGACACCCAAATCACCTGCAACGAATCCCATGCATGTCATCAGGCGACGCTACCGCATCTGCATTGTGCGCATGGGGGGCGACGGAGGTCGGAACTCATTCCCTCCGTTTTATCCTAAGTTTATATCGACATCGATGGGGAAGGAACAATAACGATCGTGATGAACCTCTTAGCGGTATGTGTAATCACCGTCCCTGGTAAAACCTGGTCGCAGGCTTCCTTTTCATCATATTGCTGGATACGATCGGATCTCAAGATATCAAGAAAGCGTCTCGGAACAAGTATCGCCAGACGTGAAAGTGTTACACCGGGTAGGATGCAAGAAGTATTAAAGAAAACGAACTCGAAAGCTAGACGGGACGATACCTTGAGGGTGCTGGTGAAGAGGTAGTTGTCGCTGAACCAGACGAAGACGAAGGCCATCATCGTGGTGAATCCTCCATTGAACACCGGGGGACCGATGCTCGTCAGCGTTATTAGAACACGATCTGCACGAGCATCTCATCATTCAGAACGTGAATTATGGTACTAGTGGTAGTTGCCCATATGCTTTTCAAGAAGAAGAATTTTCAATGACAATTCCTGGTCCAAGGAAAAGGAAGAAAACCCACCATTCTTGGAGTCGGCCCGAGTGACCATGAACTTATGAGCGATGTGCGTGGAGTAGTCGACGGCCAACCCCACGGACAAAATGATGAGAATGGACGTGAGCAACTCGATGGTGAGCCCAAACATCTGTATGCTCCCCGCGATCCCCACCAACGTGAACACGACGCACGACAGCACCCAGAGCGACACCCGCAGATCCCCCACCAGCACGAGGACGACTGCGAACACCCCCACCGTGGTGAGCCCCACGCTCCTCGGCAGCTCGTCGGACACGATCTGCGCATGCGCGGTGCAGTCAGCGTCTTCCCTGCTTCTCCCACCCTCCCAGCCTCCACCACGACTCACCCTGTTCGCCTCGATGTGCACGTATTCCATGGAGAAAGCGATTCGGAAGGGGTCGTTGAATCGGAATCGTGCGTTCTTCACTGATTCCCGGACCTCCACGATTGCTTGTTGTTTTTCTGTGCTCGTCTTCAGTATTTTGTGCTGATACGCTCCTCGAGATGCCTACAGAAGCACTACTTTATGGTATCCACACATCGCATTTGAAAGAGCTATTCTCTCACCGTGATGTTATAGTCCAGAAGGATGTTCCCGGAATACACGAGATCTTGAAGGTATTTGCGACCCTTGTTCGTGAAAGCGAGGAACGTGGAGAGTTCGTCCTTGAATTCACCTTCTGTCTTTGGGTATCCCTCTAAGAATGAAAACCTCTTTACCGACTTTTAATTTTTGCAAGGAGGGAAAATACTGGGTTCGCCTCGGACGTACTTCCTTCCTCTTGCAAGTACTGAAGGAAGCTAGTATACCAGAATTCGATGGAGTCGCTCCTGATCAGTTCCAACGACGATAGATTTCTTGTAAGGCCTTCCAAAGATTCTCTCTCTCTGAAGTAGTCAACGTCCCCTGGAACAGAGACGTCTCTGGTTACGCGATCAGAACTGAACTACTGGGGTGACACACCCAGATGCTGTTTCGTAATTTACCCAGGAAAAAGTTCCCTCGGATGCCCCTCGCCGGGAAGAGCCTCTCGACAACTTCGACAAAGTCTTTGGGATACCCTGCCCCGACGTACCACATCCCATCAGAGGCTTTCTCCAGCTTGGTCATCTTCCACCCGTTGAGACCCAGCAGCCCGAACGTCAGCCCTACCACCAACACCTACACGACACTGCACCATCAACCCCACAAACCACCTCGACCTCCACCTCCGCCTCCACCATGACCTCCACCTTGATCGGCGTCCAACCGACTGCAGGCCCGATGACCTTGCGGAAGACCACGGTGAGCATCTCCCTCTGAGAGCATGGAGCTGGCTTGTACGAGCCGGGCAGCGGGACGCAGAGGCAGCCCTCGCGGTGACTGTCTTTCCGCCTCTCGTCCAGAGCCAGGCTCGGCACCATCAGCAGAAGGGTCTCCACGTATATGATGAGTATCCCGACGGCCGTGTAGATGCAGAAGCTTCGAAGCATCGGTACGCTCTGGGAAACGAGAACCCAAGGCTCTGAGACTAAATGGTTCTCAAAAAGTCCGTTTATGGTACAGCTTAAGTCATTGGAGAAAAAACTAGAATGAAGTCGAAAATGTCTATATAGGTACTCACGCCTAGGTATTCACGGAAGCACGACTTCTTCATATGTATGCTTTTGAGAGCAAGGTCCCTCCCATTATTGGCCTTTCTGCCGAAGGAAACGACAATATGTACCACTCACCGCACGCATAGCCCCAATGCGTCTTCACGAACTCAAAGTAATTTCAGTACGTTCTAGAGCAGCGATACCCACATTTTCTACCTCTGCGTACCACTTCCAGGGTGCATATGAAGCGTATCATCACTTGTCTTCCATTTGCATATCCTACAAAGTATACAGTACTAGTACTTTATTACGCAAGTTTTTTTATGAATCTGTTTGGAAACCTCATGAGAACGACATGGCATTGCCTCGTGTACCACTTATGGTACGCGTACCACAGCTTGGGAACCACTGTGTTAGAGCAAGTCTAACTACGGTACGTAAAAAAGATGACGTCACGATCCCAGAGCTAAATCCAGTACTAACGAAGAAACGTTCGCCCCATCCCAAGGTATCGCCGAAGTGGAGGACCGCAATCCTCGTCCTGGAACTGCTCTTGGTCTATGATGTCCTAAGCACCTGCACCTTCTGCAGATCAGAAGCCTCCGTCCCCTATTATGATGCCCCACGATATCGCATGGCGATGTCCCCGATAAGACTCCGGGAGGGCGAGCGAATGCTCCGCCCATCCACACCCTCACGACTGAAGTTGTTCGATTAGAACCCAAGCGTTTTGGGGAGGAGGATGCAGATGCATCCTCCTGGATGTTTGCGCGACTGCTGGCTTTCTACGATTCCCTGCTATTCTCTAAATAAAATTCTCCTCTCCTTTCTCTTTTCTCGGTAATTAAAGCGGGCATCGGAGATGACATGGCCTCCATGAGTTATTGGAACCCCGTTGGTTAGAGTTTGGCTTTGGTTTTTTCACTTTGCGTCTGCGGAATTTTTTTTTCTCACTCTCTCTTGCGTTTCTCGGTTTCAGGGCCGGAGGAGTAACATTCGTAGGTAAAGGTCTCGATTTTTGTGCCTCGAGAATCTTGACTGGTTGCTAACTCACTCATGGAGGAAAATTTGTGGTCTTTTGTGAGATCGCATCAAGTTCATCGCACCAAGTAAATCATATTCGCATCAAGTAAATCATATTATTCTACTTCATATAGATGATTAAAAGTCTTCTATCTTCATCGACTCAAGAAAAAGAACGTTTTGTCGTTCATCTTGATCGGTGGGACCTCCCTCGCGACGGCACTCTGGCCAGCCACAACTCGGAATTCGATAAAGGCCGACAAAGGAGTAAGGTGAAATGATGCCAACTCATCTGGTGCCAAACCCACCCTGCCGATTATCGTCTCCCTAAAGAAAAAAAAAAAAAAAAAAGACAGACAGATCCACTGACCGTAGTCGCACCCATGGAAAAGGCGAAGACATCCGTGAGCGTCGTGATGGTGATGGAGACCCCGGACTGCTTGAGAGCCAGCGCCACCCGCTCCTCCGGCGTCCACGTCCCCGAGGCGATCACGTTGTCGAGGCTCTGCGACAGCGGAAGACGGACACGTTATCGGCTCGAGCCGATCGGGGGTCGTAGGGCCGATGGTGGGTCGAAGGAGTCACCTGGACGATCACGAGGGTGTCGTCGATGCCGATGCCGAGGATGAGGAAGGGCATGATGTTGTGCAGCTCGTAGAACGGTATGCCAAAGTATAAACACGCCCCCACCGCACTCACGATGGTCAATCCGATCGCCAGAAGGCTCTCCAAGCCGATGAGCACCTGCGACAGAGGACACGGTAAACTAGGAAGGTATTTCGCATTTCGATGACATGTTTGAAAAACTTAAACCGTATGAAAGCACTAAACCACGTCATAAAGCTTTTTTCTTGATATTTTCTGGCAATCACCATGATAGAAATTTGGAATCTTCTGTATGCCTCTGCCCGCAAACTCCGACCGACCTCATTCCACTGAATATCCTCCGCTCATAACTCTTCGATAACGATGCTAGCGACACACTCGACGTACCAGCTTCACCCTTGCCCGTGTGGTGCCATCGGACAACACAGTCGTTAAGATTCGCCAGATTGGTCGGTTCGGTCGGGCAGGTCGATCGCTGCTTTCTGGGCTCTGATTAGGGCTTAACGGATATTTATGCCTCATCTCGTCGAAGTTTGAGTCAATATGGCAGCGTCAGATGGGCAATTACCATGGCTCCACCGTTCACACTACCTGGCGGTCACATCACTCGTCTCTTTTGCCTGTCTTCAACTCTTCTTCACTTACTGTGAAGTGAGTTACTTTAAGTCAGACAGATTCTCCAGGCTAGTGCTTCTGGCAGAGAAAAAGTGGGTCTGGCTCGGTCTGGCTACTATTAGAAGCTCACTCGCCACTGTCGTGTTCCCCATGCTCTTTGGTCGAGCCTCAAGAGTCAAAATTTCTCACCATGACTTGGATCCACATTTCGAGTTGCCCTGATGCAGGTGGTGAAACACACGGTCGGGGATAGGCCTTTAGGCACCGTGATCCCTTTCGCGCTCTGGATCGGCTGGGATCCTAAAGAACCGGTGAAATCCTAAAGAATGAGCCTCGGGGTCTTGCCCCACCTGACTTGACCTCATTCCACGGACCCAAGGCGCTATGCTGAGTCCCAGATTTACTCCAGCATCGCGCCTGTCTTAAATGATATTTGGATTCCCTTTCTCCAAAAAATCGGATTGTTCGACCCCCCTGAATGCCGTTGACGGCGTGGACCGTCACACGCGCCGAGAAACATGCCATACCATCGACGTTTTGACCAAAAGGCGAATACGCAATTTTACATATTAAAAAAACAGCAAAATCCCGCCATTTATTAAATCTGAAAAATAGTGACTGAATAATTTTTTAATCTCCACTTAAGAGTTGAGATTTTCTGCTTCCAGACGCACAGTCCAACGTTTCACGATTCATGCAGTAAAAAAATATAAATAAAAATAAATTCCTGTCATACTGGACAAATTTGTATATCTTCACCCTATGTTGAAGAAGGTTCATCTTCCCCATGTTGAAGGCGACGAAGACGGTGGTGATGACGAATCCAAAGCCTAGTAGCGGCAGGTTCCTCTGCATCATCTGCCCCACCACGTCCCTGAAGCTGCGCATCAACACTATTAAAACCACCTGATCACCACCTGACCACCACCTGACCTACGCCATTTAACCTCTTCACCACGATCTGTATCCATCGTTGCTCTGGGCGAAATTTTACCGGAAATGAAAGGTAAATGCTCATGGAAAGCAGAAGGAAAGCAGAACCAGAAGGAAAGTATTTTTTTTTTTAAAGCAGAAGGAAAAGCCAGAAATAAGTCGAAATAAAAGATCAGCTGACCTCCTTCCAGCCAAGGCAAAGACCTCCACTCCTTTCGGTTTGGGGTTGACCTCCCCGAAAACCAGATCCAGAAATTCCTGCTCCCACGGTTCCGCTGTCAGATCCAACTACGACGCCAAAAATGAATAAATATAAACTTGAATATTTAGAAATATATATAAATAATTAAAATTAAAATTTTAAAAGCTGAACTCATCGTCCACGGATGACCGTGTGCTACTAAACGTGTTCGTACTTTCTCTCCATTATTGGAAGTGACATTGCTTCGATCTTTGAGGACGTAGATGCTCATGGTCCCCGTGGCTGAAATCACTCTTCCGTCCTTGTCCCTTTCGATTCCGGCTAGGATGACGTCCACGTCATTCGAGGACGTGGTCCTGGAAACGAACCACACGTTACTAGGGCGTGAGGGGGGGGGGGGTGTAAATTCAAGATAGAGAAGGGGCGTACTCACTTTTTATCCAGAGCCTTTGTGACTTTGTCGCGTATCTCTTCTTGGGTGATGCTCTTGAAGTCGTAATCGTGGCTCCATAAGAGCATGGTGCTGATATAGATGCATCGATCGTCGTAGAAAGACGTTTTGTTATTTTTGCCGAACAGGGGAGTCTCGTCTGCACCGTCCTTCCAGCCGTAGTCGTCGTAGTATTCGCTGTCGCCTCCAGTTTCCATGGGTTGGGTGTCCCCGTCGTCCTCACTGGAGCCTCCTGTTTCGATGGGTGGGATGTCGAGATGAGGCGGGAAGATTTGGTGGTTCGAGTTCTGTCCGTTCTGGTCGTTTTTGGGATTCTCTTCCTCGAGTTTCTCTTGATGCTCGGTTGTCACGGAATCGAAATCGTCGGTGAGTTGTGCTGCCGAGGGAGTGCGATGGGGTTTCTTGTTTGCAGTGGGGGTTGGAGTTGTGGGGATTGGGGTTGTGGTGGGGGTTGGAGTTGTGGTGGGGGTTGGGGTTGTGGTGGGGGTTGGAGTTGTGGCGGGGGTTGGGGTTGTGGTGGGGGTTGGAGTTGTGGGGATTGAGGTTGTGGTGATGGGGATGGCAGACGTCGTCGTCGAAGGCGGGGGCTGGGTCCATGGGGCTTCTTCGGGGAAGGCGGCTCCGTCGACGTAAGACGGGTAGTCTTCGGGGTCGAGCTGGGTGGTCGAGGGGATTGGGGGTTCGGGGATCCGTGGTTCTTCTTCGAAATGGAAGACGGGGATCCCCTCTTCCGTTTCCTGTTTCGTAGAAGAAGAATTCTTCGGGGGGATGGCGTCGAAATCGGGAGAAAGAGGCACCGTTTCGGGGACTTGCACCGTTTTTATGGGATCGAGGGTGGGCATTTTAGATGACATCTCCAGTGGAACTCTTGGAGATTCCGGTCGTGAGGGTCCTAATATCAAGACGGGATAGAGGGAAAAAGAATCTTCATCGGAAAAGCTTGCAAACAAATAGACATTCATATAAGCCTTGGGCAGAAAACAGAATCGCGTAGGATTCTCCCTCCCGCCCCCTCACCTTCCCCCCCCCCCCCCCTTCCCCCCTTCACATTCCCTTCTCCATCCACCCTGCCCTCCCACCCCCCTACCCTCCTTTCTCCCCCCACCCTCCTTTTTCCCCCACCCCTCCATCCAAAAAAATAGCAGAAACTTTATGGTCGCTAGAATCGCTCGTAAAGATATCGAAGGCATTGAAAAGCAGACAATTGGAAATCCTCCTTGATTCGACCGGATCTCGCTTGGCCCATTCTCAACCCATGCACGATCCCACCATCGACCCGAGTCGAAATCTTTCCCGTCATTCGCAGTCACCGTGACTCGCGCCCGAACCCGACGACAAACCTTTGAATCCCCGAGAAGACGCTGCCTCGCCTCCGTCCTCGCCCCGCCCGACCCCTGCCGTCGCAGTTCGCTCCTTCCGGTCCTTCGGTTTGCCCTCCAGGAACTCCTCCGGCCTGCGGGAAAGCCATCGTCGCCCGTGTATTCGACTCCAACTCGCACGACGAGTTCGCGGAAACCCGCGAATTCGAGGAAAACGAGTCGCCCAGCAGAGGATGGTTCGTCCCCGTGGTTTCCTCGCAACCACCAAATTACCAGCTCAGATACGGGAATGATTGACCCATCCCTACGATGCAGCGTCCCACACGCCCTCCAATTCCCAATCGGCAAACACGCCATTAATGACTTCGGCACGAATGGGTTTCCAGATCGTTCCGCCCCGCACAAAAGCGCCTCGCCGAATCTATCGCCGAGCCTCGGATCCGTTCGGAATGTTCGTGCAACACGAAACGGTCGGCAATTGCAACATTCGATTTAACGCGATTGCGAAACCATGTTGATGCGAATTGCACGATAGTAACAGAAGAAATTAATTCCATTCGGTTTTATCAGCGTCAATGTCTTCCGACGAGTCTTCGCACTTCTTTTTCGTTAGCGTGGGAGAGACGAAAAAAAAAGCGCAGTTTTGAGCAAATGACCACGGCAAAATATGCGAAGATAAGCGATGCAAATATGGGACGTGCAAAAAGCATCCGAAATAGATGTGGCTGTTTCTATTCCTTTGCGTGCAGACTCGCTAATCTCATTAATATTTTATTCATGATGAATTAATGAAGAAAGTTTCAATAATTTAGCCAATCCGATCATTAGCGTTCAAATATGCATTAAGCCCATTGCATCGTCTCCCATGAACCTGCAGTGCAGGATACCAGGAATACAGGGGAACGAAAGGCCATTTAAAAAATAAGAAGATATTTCTTACGAGAGCGAATTGAAACTTGAGGTTCGCTGGGAAAATAAGTATTGTAAAAGTATTTATATCATAAGGGTATTTATTCGGGTGAACGGAATTTTGGCCGAAGCGGAAACCTTGAAAAAGGTTTTCCACGCTTTTGTTCTTGCGCGGATCCGGTTGGGAAAATTTATGCGAGGATGAAACTCATCCTGGAACGCAGTTTCATATCGTATGTCGGGAGCGAGAGAGTAAACATTTTAATGACGCGTTTAAAAGTGAAATTCATCGTATCGATTCAAGGTTTCCGACCTTACCTTGCACAGACGTCGTCCCATGCGTGTCCATCGGCCGTTATCGACCGAATCTTTTTATCGAGCCTCGCCATCTACGAATAAAGAACGAGGCATGATTCGTCCAAGCAGAAAAAAAATGCATAAAAAATGCATACGTAATGCGGACTCACGTATTCGACGGTCTCCGGCGCGAGAACGTTCGGCGCCGTGACGACGACGGTCTCGTGCCTCGTGCCTTCCGGAAAGTTCTCGTGGATCCACTCCTGCGCCCGGAGCATATAGGAACCCGGGAGGAACCAGGTCTCCACGTTCTGGCCGGTCCGCTCCTTCCAGAAGAGGAGGCCCGGCGCGCAAAGGGCGGCGAGGGCGAAGGACAGCGCGATGCATGGCCAGGGGTGGCGGGCTTGGTGGTGGGCGCATCTGGGGGCAGGGATTTCCTGTCTCGTTTTGGCTTTGGTTTTGTGATTGGGATTAAGATTAGGGTTAAGTTGTCTTCGTGGTTGGGGAGTGAGATGAACGTCCCGAATGAAAGAATTCGTATTTTCAGGGAGGAATATTCGTGGATGGCTTGTCGGTTCCGTGCGTGACAAATCGTTCGAATGTGGAAATGCTCCATGGCTGGTTTACGTCATCTCGCAGCGTGACTTTGCTCCTGACTTTCGTGACTCACGTCGACGATCGAGAGTGAACTCCATGGCCTCAGACTTTTTTCGACGTTTATTGGGACTGCCGATGGCTTATTACGAACCGGTGAAGTATTTGGGAAAACGCGCACGTTCTTCTTGATCTCGTTTCGGGGAGTTAACGCGACCGGGGAATTTTGAAAATGCTGGGACCTCGGTTCGCGAGGAATAAACGAAGACATTTGATGTCCTTCCTCGAACGAAAATCGCTGGGCCGGGAATCCCTGGTGTTTTTTTCCAAACCAAATTTTTTTTTCAAAATTATTTAAGATGTGAGAAATTTAAGCAGTGGCGAAGATGGGCCGAAATCCGGTGTTGTTGCGCAATTATGGGACTCCCTCTATTAAGGTGTTCCCTTTACGTGATTCTGAAATGTGCCCGTTTCGCAACGGAAGACCGGTTTTCATGGGAAACCCGCATGGACGCTCTCGAAACCCGAGCACCGAATCGCTCTCATCTGTAGAATCGCAATGGACGCGTTCTTGATAAATGACGGTTTGGCAATCGGAATGTTGAGGGGATTAAATACGCGGAATTCGGTGGAGGGGGTGAATAGACGTGGCGGGTACGGAAGCGGAAGAAAATTGGTGACTTCGTTACGTTGCCGAGTGGGAGGGGGAAGAGGATTGCGGAGCGAGGTCGATCGAGACCCCAAAATCCGCGGCGCGGAAAATGGGAAAGGAATCTGGGAAAGAATGCATTGGGGATTCGCACTCACCTGTAGAAGAAGCTCTCGAGAGCGGCATGGACCTTGAAGCTCAGCCTCCGAAGTACGCCGACACCCATGTCAAGTGCGTTCGCAGGCGATCGCTCGCTGGCGACCTCACTGGCAAGAATGAAGCGGAGAATGAAGGACAGAGAAAGAAGGATGGAGGATGGAGGAAGGGGGATGGAGGATGGAGGATGGAGGAAGGAGGGAGGAGGACGAAAAGGGATGGATCACCGAGGCGGGTCACCTCGAGGGGATGACAGGAAGCGCGGAATCATCATCCATGCAACACAACAGTCCCTCGTTTTCCCCCCCCCCCTTTTTGCGTCTCGCTGGGAAGACAGAAGGATTTAAACGGGAAAATCGTCAAGGAATTCCTGGGCGTTCCCAAGCGCCTTCCTGCTCGTTTGACTGTGAGGTCCTGTGCTGTCGCGGTTCCCCTCGCACCGAATCGACCTGGGGCCTTTTTCACGAAACTTCTTTAACTCTATTTCGGCTATATTTTGGCTATATTCCAACTTTATCCCGACTCAAAATAAAGAGAAAATAAAGACACCTTTGGAGGTCTCTCTATCTCGACTTTAACCTCTCAGAGGACTACGGAAACTCACCTGCGTGTATTCTTATTAACGTGCCCCAAGCGTTGCACAAGCATTCTTTCTGCCACCTGTGACTTACTGCTCTCCGTGTTCACACAACCATGGCTGCAAGGCTTCATATAATTCGAAGGCAGCTTCGTCGGGAAAGAGTACTTTGCGACCGAAACAGTCCCTTGGAAGAGTACGACGATGAAGGACTCAGGAGCAGATTCAGACTCTCACGGAGTCTCCTCTTGACTATCTGTGTCCTAGTCCAGGCGAAAATGCAAAGGAGTACTGCCCGTTGTGGAGCACTACCAATCCAGCTGATAGTTTGTGTGGCACTCCGATTCCTGGCCACAGGCTCCATCCACTCCATGCTCGGTAATGGTCATGGCCTTTCCATTCCTACCATATTAGTAGATGGAGCCTGTGGTCAGGAATCGGTCGCAAAGTACTTTTTCCCGACAAAGTTGCCTTCGAATTAGGTGAAGCCTTGCAGCCATGGTCGTGTGAACACCTCCAAAGGTGTCTTTATTTTTTCTTTATTTTGAGCCGGGATAAAGTCGAAATATAGCCAAAATATAGCCGAAATAAAGTTAAAGAAAAGTTAAAGAAGTTTCGTGAAAAAGGCCCCTGAAATTGTCCATCGAAAACGAGAAGAAAAATATGGATCTCACGAGACGAGTCATTCACCTCTGTGCAATCGAGAAGTTCCTCCTCACCCTGCCATTTTTTTCCCTTTCAAATCTCTTCGATGCGCTAATGCATGTACCGGGTGAGGCAAAAAAAGTCGCGTCGCTCTTTGAACACGTGCGGCGCCTCCGAAACAGCACCTAGAACGAAGCTGCTTTCAAACACACCTCTACGCATTCTTTTGAGCATCCGAGATTTTTTTTGCCGGATCATCTCAAGTCGTTTTTGCACACGAGTGATTTTACAAAAGGAACTGGAATCTTTTTTTTTTGCACTCGCACCTCGACGCTGACGGGAGGACCTCACCAGGAATGACAATTCTTCTCAAGGATTTTTCCCTTTGCACTTCAGAATCCGCTAAGATCTCTGACTCGTCTGGCAATTAGAAGATGGGAATTTCGCACCCCAGGATTATCATCTTGAGAAACAATGACGGGATGACTTGTGAAAAATGAAACTGGAGTTTCCTTCGCGTTTTCGCTCCTGTGCTGGGAAAAAAAATTAACTAGAATTTCAGGACGTTTAAAGGATACGCAAGAATCGTTGCAAAAAATGTTTGACGTGCTATTTGCTATTTCATGAACTTCAAACTATCTCAATGAGCTTTTTTTGCCTCACCCGATATACAGGGGGGGGGCACGTGCCCTCCCGCTTTAAAAAGAAAAGGGGAAAGACTCATGAAATGCCTAACAGCATCTTAAGTCCACTTTTTCTGCGGCAACCTCATCATAATACTAATTATAGCACGTTTCAGGGAAAAGTCCATCCCGTGTTGTTCCATGGAGTATACACAAAAACAATTCCTAGTTACTTCATTCCGACCTCAGGACGAAGAAGCGGGGAAATGTTTCCACGAACCCGTTGTTGTTCTAGAACTTTTGGATGGGTTAAGCCTGTTAAAGTAAAGGATTCTTATAAGGAATATGGGCTTGTTCATAGCTCTCGAATATGGGGATAATAAATGAAAAAGTGATTTATGTTTATTGATTTCTATGAGATAAGGCGAGACACACGCTTCCATCTAGTGGCACGGAGGAGAACTTCAACATTTCCCAAAAACTTCTAATTGCAACTTCGGAACAATGGACCTTCGCGGTCGTTTTTGAGTCATGCACCTCATGATCAAAACGTCCGGTTCCTCATCGATGCTTCAAAGCATTTGCAGAAGTTTTCGCGGATCAGTCGGATCAGTCGAAGCGCCGGCTAAGTGTGCAAGGCCTTCTTGAGCCACGGATAGGCTAACCACTGCAGAGCCGCAGAAACGCCACAGTTTCCACAGATACGCCGATCTATGGCCACACATACACTGCTGACAGGGTAAACGCTCTTGAAGAACAGTAATAGGTAAAAAGCTAACCACTGACGGACACATAGACAGGCCTCAAAATGGTCTCAATCGTTTTGAGGCCACTGTATGTATCCCATGGCTTCCAAATAGGCTTATTTGAATTAGTGTGCGATTTCATGTTATTTTTTTACTCAATCTACAGACCACAATCGGCGCCGGCGCCGGCTGATGAGATCAAAATCAGCCATCGGTACAGCCCTAATATCTAGTAAAGTGCCAGTTCCAGGCCACTTTTTAAAATCTCCCGCTAGATGTCTCTGTCCTCCTTTGGAACTGCCTCACTGGTGCTTTTCAGTAGCGCAGTGGATTCTACTCAGTGGCTGAAAGAGGCAATAAGAAATTCCTTATGATGCAATTGATCAAATTCTTACCTCCACGAGCTCGTTGAAAAGGAAAGGAAATTTCACCCGTGGTACGGCGATGTACCAGGAAAACCTGCAGTACTCCATCTCGATCTGGAAGCAAAGGTGGTCGCACAAAATGCACGACGGGAACGGTCAGAACGTTCGGGAACGCCTCGAACTGCGAAACAATCAAAATTTCTCTTCCAGAAAATTCTCAAACGTTCCCAAATGAAGTAATGTGAAAACCATTTTCAAAGGCTTTTCCCCGTTCTTCAACACTCAACAACCCTCTACAGGACTCTAACCTTAGGCCGAGGCCTAATCTCATTCTCGATTTACGCGACCGATTCGGCCTATAATGGTCGATCTCGGGAATTTCGCAGAACCTCGCCGAGGATGATCAACGTTAGGCCTATCGGGAGTTCCACGAGACGACTCGGCCAGGTCTGGGGAGGGAATGCACGTTTGGCGCCAAAATCAGCAGGGTTGCCGAAGCGCGGCGCTTATATCGTACCGCATCGACCGGTCACCGCTAACCGCTGCTTCCATCTCCCCGCATTCCATTGGCTTGGCGCAAAAATGAATCATGAATTAAATTATTAAAAAATCTCGACATCGATATACGAAAGCAGAATCGATCATGGATCCGACACGGCCCCAGCACGATATCCGGCAACCGTGGAAGACGGGATTCGACCCCGCACGCTAAACCAAGATCAACGATGGTTAATTTCATTTTATAATGGCGTAAAATGATGCATCGCAACCAAAGAAATGGCACTTTCCGCGATCTAAAAGTAAATCTCTCTCTCTCTGTTAAGAGCACTTTTTTCGAGAAAAAAAGGGAACGAATTCGGCATCCTCGAAATGGATGGAGAAGGCTGCCGGATTTTGTTTCCTGCTCTGAGAGGAATAAAGGTTGAATAAAGGTTGAATAGAGGGAATCGTCGATCCGAGCCAAGAAATCCATTAATCGTAGTTTATGCAAGTTAACGAGGAATGGATCGATCGGGACCGTCTGGATCCACGGCTTGAACCGTTGATTGAACCGCTGATTGAATCTAATGACCCACTTTCTCTCCCAAATTTCCAGGAACGATCGGAAACGATTTCATCTAACAAGCAGGCGCAGAAAAAAAATTGAGAAAACAGCAGCGGACGATTCGGCGAACCATCGTAAGCGTGACGCAAACACTCTTTCGAGTTTCACTCAGTCAGACTTTCCCCATCTCAAGTAAAAAAAAAAAAAAAAAAGATTCATCACATATGGGCCTACCTTCGAGAAGCCATGAGATTGAAACGCACGCGCCCCATCGCTCTCGAAATCGCCGAGCCATTCATTTCTTTGAAATGGCCTCGAAGGACTTTCGCAACCGAACCGGTGCGACCGCCGAAATCCTCCCCCTTCGTACGTGATCCGCGCCTCGCCCGAACCCGACGGATCCTCACCGCTACGTGACCCGATAGCGATCGTTCCTCGACTGCCGGCCAGCGCCATCCAGCGGGAGTCGGGAGAATCAGAGGATTCCAATATGGCGCGTTCCTCTCCGTTACTTCGTTTTCGGGGAAGAATCCTCTTTTTTTTTTCCGCGGTTTCTTCGGCGTATTTGGACTTTAAGTGTGGTGGAACGCGGCGAGGCAAGAGGAAACGATCGAGCCGGGTTAAAGTTTTCGGGTTTTTAGCTGTTTGTTTCGCGTGCAGATCGCTTTTTCTCGGTTGAGTCCGTGATTATGACTCAGACACCTTTTCTAGGGATTTCTCACGTCTGGGTGTCGGACTCGAGTGAAAACGCGAAAAAAAACTGTGAGAATTGGTGCTTGTGTAATAGGCGGGACCGTACGTTGCAGCGTTGGGACCAAGACGTTTCGCAACATTTAGGATAATCCAGTCTAACGTTAGGAAACTGTTTGCGTACGTCTACGTGCATATTCAACGAGAAATGGTGACCTGGAAATGTGAATGATGGGGTAAACCTAGCTTATTATTCGCAGCCTACGCTTAAGAAGGATCCTGACTTGGGATTTTGATGAACCGTCAGCCAATTCACGTTTCCCCCGGGCCTAAGTTTATATGAAGACGGGAAGGGGGGGGGGGGGGGGGGGCCTAGGGGACCCCCCCAGGGGGTGGGTGGGGGGGGGGGGGGGGGGGGGGGGGGGGGGGGGGGGGGTCCTAGGGTACACCCCCTGTTGGCCTAGGCCAGCCCCCCATAGATTCACACCATTTTTGGAATGGATTCGTAACCCCCTCTTGGATTGCTTCCATCAATTTCTTTTTGCATTTTTTTACCATACATTTTGTAGATGTGGGTGGTTTCTTGGATAAATGATGGGTTAATCTTCTTCAGGAGTAGGGGGGTGGTGACATAACGAACTATACCCGTACATTCCCCCCATTCTTCACTATCCAGGGGCAAACAATTTAAACCCAAAAAAGCCTAGGCTAGCTAAGAGAAGTATTTTAGGTCATAGCCTAACCTTAGACAAGTCTATAATAGGACCTGCCCTAACTCAAATGTGCTGATTCTACTGAGATTGTGATTTTGTGCTCCTGTCAGATTTGATCATTTCTCAATAATGCTAAATTATTATTGTTTCTAAGGTAACTACTCAATAGTTGCCTGAATCTCAAAACCTGAAGCAGAATTGTCAGACGTCTAAAACGGCTCCAAAGTGGTGAATGAGATGGAAGAAAATGAAGATACATGTCGTCAAATGATGGATACAAATCCGGCCTCTGCAGGAAATAGTGACGGTGACAATCAGTGTTATGATGGAACTTTGCCAAAAGATGGCTTGAAAGATGGAAGCATGGAAAGTAAGGGAACAGAAGATGGTGCGCCCAAAGCTACATTTGGATGTCAGCACTACAAAAGGAAATGCAAGCTATTTGTGAGTGAAGTTGACTTCAAGCTATTGCCTATTCACATGTTCCTCAATAGCCTAAAAGTAGAGGAAAGAGGACAGGAAGAACAGGTCTGAGGTGTGTTAGGGCAATGATCAGGGTGTGAAGGAAAATTTGACACTATAAAACAAACTGAATATATTTTATTTGGAATATCATTTAACTCATTCCAAAGAGCCAGAAGACTCATCCTATGGTCCTTAAGCCCTTTTTTTTCTGCAGTTACTATATGTATTCCACATTTTTTTAATTTTGCCCTTTATGCACTCACATTTCTTATCCAGGCAAGTGGATGTCATATCTGAACCAGGCCTATGCAACTAGATAGTTGCACAATCTCCTAAGATTATTAAATGTTATTTTTTCTAACTTCATTTTGAAAATAATTAAAAATTATCTTCCTCTTATACCTCAGTTAGTGACTGGATTCCAGCTATGTATCTTGTACTTTTTTAAAGTACTTATTTCATCAGCACAATGCAGTATATTTCAGAGAAGTTTCATGCTTCATTGAGTCTGACAGGTTTTCAGGTGGGTAAGGAATTATTTACTGCAATATGACTAACTCAAGCACAAGTATGTTGAACTCAAGAAAAAATAGCTGTGCTGATGATTCATCTGTTTTCTCTCAAGAGCCTTGTTTCATGAATTTTCCAAGCTTCTTTTTACGGAATTGAGACATCTTGCTTTTCCCAATGCATGTCTTTCCCCCATAGCAAGCTTGCCTCAATTTATGATGAGATCTCAACTCCAGTGGCAATGTTCTTGCATGCCTCTATCACCCAGACTCTGAATTTTTTGAGCAGAGCAGCAGTAGTTTCCACTGGCTCCATCTTTTGTGCCAGCATGAGGACATAGAATCCATCTCATGCAGGTCTTTCTGATGTGCAGAAGCTTGTGGTGGATGGTGTGAGCCATGACATGGAATAGACCTGTTTCTCTTGCAATATCATCAGTTCGCCTTCTATCAGTTTCATTTAGTTCAGTCACATGTGCCACATTTTCATATGAGGTAGTTGAAGACATCCTGATATGGGGTCATCTTCAACAGACTGGCAGTTATCATTGAAGTATTGCAACAGTTTGACATAAAGGAGTACTCCATCCTTCACTTTCAACTAGTCATAGTAATGGATTTTGCTTGGAGTTCAGTAATGAATGAATATATGCATGGATTTCTCTCTCTGAAAGAAGCTAATTGTTGAATGACCTGGCAACCTATGGTCTTATCTTGAGGAAGCAATATCTCAACAAGGAAAGGAAAACACAAAACAAGGAATGTGCTGTCAGCAATTTTGCTTAAATTGTAACCTCTTTTATTGACCTTGGAGCTACAGATTAGTTACTGAAACTTATTGACTGACCCATGTATGTTTCTTTATACCTGTACACAACATTTGTCACTTGGCCTATCCAAACCCTAATGCTCTCCATTTCTTCTTGGGAAATTTTAGGTTGGTCTATATCATGATTGTGACTTGTCAGTGACCTGAGTTAAAGATTCATGTAGAATTAGAAACAGCATAGGCTACTGGCAGGCTTGGGCTAATTTGGCCAAGTTTCCCAATTGGAAATGTAAAGCCAGGTTGTTTGCAGCCTAACAGGCTAGTACCTGTTACTAAAATTGAATAAATATATTATATGGTGCTCTTTCACTTCATTCACAATTCTAATTTTATTAAACCTGATACTGTCATAGGTCATGTCTAGATAATAATTAGTGCCTGTCTGCTTCATGTTACTTTCCTTGCTAGAAGCTGTTTAAGCCAAAATGGCTCTTTAGCCCCATGTTCATGAAATTTTCAAGTTTTTCATTCTTGTGTACCTTTGGTCTAGTTTTGAATAAGGAATGGAATTGAACTAAGTTTGTTTGATTCTGTTGTTTTCATTTATCTACATCTAATAGGCACCATGCTGTGGTCGGGCCTACACCTGTCGTTTCTGTCACAATGATGTGGAGAATCACTGTCTTGACCGGCGACAGGTCATGGAGGTGGTCTGCATGCAATGTAAAACACAGCAGCCAGTGCAGAAAAACTGCCAACAATGCAATCTCGAATTTGGACGGGTATGTACCTTCCCTCATACACTATTACCAGAACTGATCCTGACACTGACACTATTGTATGGTTGCTCTGTACATTCATCATGATCACTTCATCCTTTATTTAGTATTATTGTGCGCAATGCAAGCTGTTTGATGATGATGACAAGCAGCAGTACCACTGTGAAGGATGCGGGATCTGTCGCATAGGTGGTCGAGAGCGGTTCTTTCACTGCACAGTCTGCGATATGTGCCTCCCAATGCGCCTGCAGGGCAACCACAAGGTCAGTATTCACCTTCTTTTCATTTCAAGTAAATGTTTCATTTCAAGTGATGTGTTGCATGGAATTTGTGGCTGAATGCAGGATATGGAAATCCTGTCATATATCCCGTAATTAATGCAGCACATCCATCATTTATATGTTATCTATTTTACAAATGGATCTTGACAGCTTTCCTAGCAGCTATCTTGAAGTAGGCTAGGATGTCTTCTTCAGTCTCTAGAGGTCCTGTTTCATAAAATTATTTGAAAGCAAGAGACATTGGAGTTATGCTGGAGAGGGTGTTCAAAAATGAATGGATTGGAGAAGACCTGTTTAAAGTGATTACATCTTGTTGATAGGAGACATGCCTTTAAATATTTTATGCGCGCTATTATATTGTTGCAGATAAAACTGAAGTCTGGTATGGAAGAGTACCGAATGACAGTAAAGTGGAATATGTGATTTTCTGTTGATAGTGTGTGGAGCGTGTGTCTCGGACCAATTGCCCCGTCTGCTTGGAAGACATCCACACTTCTCGCATTCCATCTCATATCCCCCCCTGTGGGCATCTCATACATCGCACTTGCTTTGGTGACATGCTCAAGAGTGGCCTGTATGCCTGCCCTGTCTGCAATACCTCCATGATAAACATGGAGAAGGTTAGTTTCTGTGGTGGAATAGCTTTAAACTGGGATTTTTTGTCAGATCTGAGTCTTCTGCATTAATTTCTTTTCACTTTTCTTCCAGGTTTGGCAACATTTGGATGAGGAGATCCAGGAGACCCCCATGCCTGATGATTATCGGAATCTCTTTGTTATGATATTGTGTAGGGACTGTCACAAGGTCTGCATCAGCTTGCCAACTTTTTTTTCTGGCTCATTTTAGAGGCATCATGGGATCCGTGAGAAAATTCATTTTCATTTTCTATTTACACAGGAATCAGAAGTGGCATTTCATATTCTGGGTCTCAAGTGTCAGGAATGCGGGTCATACAATACCTGCCGGAACAAGGGAAAGGCTGTTTTGCGTGTACCAGGTAAGGTTTAAATTCCTGGTCTGTGTTGAAATAGAGCACTTGTGCTGATGCCAAAAAAAATTCAAGATTCTCTTCATTTTTATTTTTTGAAGAGGATGAATCTTTTGTTTAATTGAGAAGATTCTCTAGACATACTAGCATATGCTACTGCAGGCTTATTTTGAAAAAAAAAAGGAAACTCCCTAACCTGGAACTTTAAAATCATATAGGGTAAAAGACCCAGTGATGGTCCTGTTAATGGCGGGTACTCAGTGATGGGCCACTTCGCAGGAAAATTTCAAAAACTAGGCATTTGTTCCATGAACACCTCTGAAGTGTCTATGTGCTTGAATGCTGCTAGCATATTTCACAACATGGGTAGGCTTGCTATGGAAGCCTAGCTATTGGAATTTTTATGTGCTGTGGCCCATCACTGGGTCTTTTACCCTATATAGATTGATATGCATTTTCTTTATGTAATTTTTTCATCATCGTGGACTGTTCAATTTTTTGCTATTTAGAAATCAAGTTAGGTACTAGAGCAGTGGTGCACAACTTTTTCCCCCTAAAGGGCCAAATTGTGATTTTGGCTCATGTTTGAGGGGTTAAACACCCTCAAACATGAACCAAAAGAGGCCACATGTAAATATGGATCTTTAGAGACCGGAGGCATCCAGGGAGGCGTAAGAAAGGTCTCTGCGAGTCACGAGTGGCCCGCAGCCTGCAGGTTGTGCATCACTGTACTAGAGTGTAGTTCTTGTACTGTAGTTCTTGTACCTGGTGCTGCTTCCAGTTTCTCAGATTGTCTTTCACTTGTAACTTGACTTTGATCCCTTTTCTCCCATGAATATAACTTTCTATGATTTCATGGAGAACAAACAGGATCTGTGACATACAGTAACTTTTTTTTCTTCATATTGACCCATGGCCAAGTGCACAAAAGTAATGAAACTATATGTTTAAAGGAGGACAAGTGGAAGGTGCAGAACCAGTTGAAGGAGGGAATGCAAGTGAAGGGGCATCTTCGTCATCGTCATCGTCATCCTCGTCTCAGCCCCAGGCTGAGGCATCCGGTGAAGCAGACCAGTCAGCAACTTGAGACTTCCTTTGTAGGCGACATCAATTCTTTGAGTCCTTTTTTCTTTTCCCTCAGATCTGTCCCCCCTCACACTGTTGATCCTCATCCTTGCTATTCACTTCTATGGTTTTTTTTTTTTTGCCAAAGCCTGAAAAAAATGTCTCAATAACAGACATTTATCTCAGATGTTGTGCATATGGTGTATCTGTTAAAAGAGAAAGTGAGAGAGTCAGGGACTTGTCATTTGTCGTTTCTGTCGAGGCAGGATCCTCGCTGACTCTCATTTGTTCGTTTGATTTTTGTTTGTCTAGCCTTCTTCTCTGTGATACATCTATGTATTCGGGCAGAGGTTACTTGCTTCACTTTTATTTCTTGTTCTTGACAAGTATGTCCACCATAATTTGTTACAGATCTTACAATATATTACTTTTTTGAAGCACCATGCACATCTCGTCCAACAGTGAACTCACCTGAGCACCCAGAGATTCCCTTCAATATCTGCTCTGGTATAATTTTTGTTCATAGGCCTCCTGGCATTTATTTATTATTTTCACATTGATTTATGTTGTAAGAATATTTCAGTTTCATTCAAAGGTACTTGAATGATAGATATTGCTATATTAGTATATTGTGTTCAGTGATGTACAGGTATTGTTAGACAATGGCCTAGTCTGTTTGCAATGCACGCACGATCTGGCCACCGAAGCAAGAACTTACGTTTTATCACTAATATATATATTAGATGTCTATCGATGTGACCCTCGTGTCAGTGTGCGAGACTGTTCTAAATTGGTTGGTCGTGATTTTCAATCTGTGTGACCCCATTCCCCAAATCCAGAGATTAATAGACTCCCCTACTGGAAATCTATTATGTCCTACTTCACTTCCCAAATGGGAAGCTGTTATTTGTGAGCAGAGAAATAGCATTTGTTTCTACGTGATTTGCGAGCTCGAGTTACGACGTTTTTCGTGGGAGACGCTTCAGAAGTGAAGTTGGGGATAATTTTCAGTATTCTGCTCTTGCCCGCATTGTCGATGCTTTCTGGCTCTTGTTTATTTATTTTGTATGGGCTTTGAGGGAAATTTCTCTCTGCGTAAAAAATGTTGCGACTCGAGCTCGCTGTTGTGAGCTAGAACGATTTTGTAGGATGGACCAAGAGGGATGGAATAAATACAGAGTTCTATAATCGAACATGCAATGCTGTATCTTTGAGTCCCCCACACACATTGCTTTGGAGATGCTCTGGTGCTTTTCCTTTCAGATCTTTGAGATCCCGCTTCGGACTCGGACCCGAATCTCGTGCGGAACGTGAACGAATCTGCCAGCTCCGGCAGCATTTTGCAAGTTGTTTCTAGGATTTATTGGGGAGTCTTAACCAAGTTGGCTTGCCATCTATCAAGCCCCATCTCAATCAAAACTGTCTGTAATTAAGAGGCTCTTTCTTGCCCTGGTCAATCCTCAATCGCAGATCAAAGGGGTCAAAGATCAAAGATTCAAGACTTTCCCTCAGTGTGACTCCTCGACAAAGATCATATCTACTGAATGACTGGTCTAAATGCATAGGCATGTTTTACTACTTCTTTTTCATTGACTTCATGAACTGCAAGGATTCATTACGTTTCCCTTTTCGTTTGCAGTCTTTAAACCTTTTCTGATGTGAGTTGGGCAATGCTCTTTGTTCACCTCTTCAAAAACTTTTGAAAAGGGTTCAAGTTTTACAGGAAATCTGCTTTTTTATTTATGAAAATTACCAAGGCAACCTCTATAATATAAAAAAGCAGGAAGCTACGACCGATGACATCGTCTTGGCAAGAGAACGATTTTTCTGGCCAAAGAACGATTGTTCCTTGCAAGAAAAAATATTCGAATTCATCATTGCTTCTTCCCCGGTTGGTTGTAGAATCACTTTTTCTTTCCTTAACTTCTGGGCGTGCACCCGGGTTCATAATGCTCCCACAATACGGATTACGGGATTGAAGAAAAACCGAAGGCCGTGGAGGCAAGAAGTCACATCCTCGTGACGTCATCGAAAGAACTTCCATGTCACTCCCAATTTTCCTTTGATTGGTTTGCTTTGAGCCCGGAAAGCGAAACTTTTCGAAAAACGGGAAGAGCCCGGCGAAACGAGCTCTATCCCACCTCCAGCGGCGGCCCAGCCTCGCTCCCCACGGAGGGCTCTATATCGCTCCCCACGGAGGGCTCTATATCCCTCCCCACGGAGGGCTCTATCGCCTGCCGGCCTCTGACGTCACGCAGCGTCCTCTGCGCAGTCGGTGCATGGCCGTCTAGGCGGTCGCTACGTCTCCATTCCGTGAGTTCAGTTATTCATTCTCATTCAACCTATCTTCTTCACCTTTCTCCACGGCTGAGGAGCAATCGAAGCGGTAATTAAAAGCCGAAACCATGAGAAGACAAGCGACGTATCCGCTGACAAACTTTAAACTTTAATTTTTTTTCATTTCTCAAACACGATCCATGGTCTCATTTATTTTCCCATGTAGTTTTTGGAACTTGTTTCATAGGAATGGGAACATCATTCCTAAACTGTATAAGTAATTCGGCTGCCCCCTCCAAAGCCTATCGCATTAGCTTCTACCGGCCGATTAGTCGTGCTGAACGTTGAAATTGAGCTACTCCCATTTGCCATTTTACTTTAATTATCTGACCTTCAGACATGCTGGAATCCCAAGCGCGTGAGCCTACCGTAAATCAGGGAGAGGAATTAGGACGCAAATGGAACGCTAATGGAACCTGGTTGAATCCGGGCTAACGTTAGGCCATGCCCATCGCATCGTGTTGCTTCTCCAATCTGCGGAACGAATGAAATTCCGTTTTGACGACATTCTTCTAGAATCGAGATTGTTTCTTTTGGGTTCCTCTAAGTTTTTACGCAGTGGTGGATCCAAAATGCCCCGAACTCGTAAAGACCGGTCTCGTCAGCTACGCTAGCCGAAGGGGAAAGGGCAAGGCTCATCCCTTAGGAGCCGTGTCCTTCGACCTCGAAAGCGGCCAAGGGCAAGGAGACCCCGACCTGACAAACCTGCACGTCGACGATCCGTCTGACCCCATCGACCAAAACCATGGAACCCTCTTAGAAGCCTACTGAACGTTTGAACCACGTTTCAGCAGGTTCTCATAAAATTAAAAATAAAAATTACCAGCGCATGACTCCGATTACAGATGAGCCAGACGCAGTCGTCCTCTCTGCCGACATGCTCTCTCGTCTTTTCCCGTTGTGCACGTCCTCGGCTTTCAAGCCACTCGGTCATTTCAAGAGCTTCCGTATGGAGTCTATGCACCTCCTTGCCTCCTTCTTGCCCCCTTGCCAATCCTAGATTGGATTGGAAGGGTTTTATTGAAGCGATTTTTGAAAACAACCGGAGGAATCGACAGGCACGTTCTGCAGCCACCGTGAAATTCCATCTCCTTGCTCCCTCTACCCCGTCCGGTAAGTCCCGATTCAGTGCCATTCCGTATTTTCGAGCTTTTTTCGTGCTTCTCCTGCCGCGTGGTCTTCATATAATCGAGTGGAATGCTCTAATGCCCACACCAAATCAACGTTTCCCAAAGACGAAATGAAAGTTTATTCCACAACACTCATAACTCGACAGATTCTAAAAGCAAGGGATGATGCACGACGCTCAGCGACCAGGCCGGGGAGCCGACCGGCGAAGGACGTCGGCCACGCGCCGGATGTCCCCGTCGTCCAGCGCGGAAGAGACGACCAATCGGATGCTCGGAGGTGGCATGCACACGTCCTCGTCCTCCACGTAGCAGGCTGAAGTCAGGGCCACCCCCATCTCCTCTGCCTGTTCCCCGCGAATGGATGGAGAAAAGAAGAATGGCAGGTGGATGTAGTCTCTCTCGCTTCTTTCCCCCCGATGGAAAACTGCATTCAAGGAAAGAAAGCAAGAAGTGGACCGCGAACCCTTTCGACCATCTTTTGCAGAGCTCTCGAATCATCTTTCAAATTCTCCGAACGGTCCTTAAACTGCAAGTGCTTGACCGGCGACACGGCATCCCCGACCAGCTCCATCCCCGGCACATCCCCCCACTCCACCTGCGCCTGGGAACAAACACGGACCATCAGGAAAACCGTAACAGCGGCATGGGTTCTCTCGATGACAAACGAGACGGACCAGAAGACAGTTCCGCCTGAGTCGCTCGATGGCGGCGATCCCGCGACTCGATTCGATGTATTCGAGGGCCGCCAGGGCTCCCGCTGCCAGCAGTGGGGGGAGAGCCGCCGAGAAGCAATACCCTAAAACACGTAAAACGTCTCGCCATCGCACTTCGTGCTTCCCAGTCGAAAACCTGAGGAAGACTTGCCATGTCCGGAGATGCGTTGGTTGTCGACGATGAAGGAAGTGCCGACGCAGAAGCCCCCGACGCTCGACAGCGCGTATTCCAACGTTCCAGTGATCAAATCCGCCTCCGAGTTCTGCACGAAACACCCTCGTCGTAAGTGTCTCACGATACCGGATTTTGACGCAGACCTCAATCGACAAACGATTCAACGAATGAAACGTACCGGGATGCCGTAGTGCTCGAAGATTCCACGTCCGGTCTTTCCTAGTGTCCCAAAGGAAATGCTCTCGTCGACGAGCAGTCGCACCTTGAACTGCCTTCTCAGCTCCACGATCCTCGGCAGACGACACAGATCCCCGGTGTTCATGTAAATTCCTTCCACGACCAAAAATCGACGAGTCACCTTCGCCTCCTTCGGGTTCTACACACGAAAAAAAAGAACCTGATCTCTGCACAGAATGAAATTTGAAAAAAGCAAAGAAACACAATGAGCACACCTTCTCATCCAACCGCTGCTGTTCCAGAAGCAACTCCAGCAGATGATCCATGTCATTGTGCCGGAAGTACCTGATCTCGCTGCGGGACGCAACTAGTCCCTTCTGGATGGCGAAGTTCACACCCGCATCCCTACAGCATACGTTCTCCATCCGACCCAGCCCTCTGACACAGGGAATCCACAGAAAGCAAACTCACGCGAAGATGACGTCGTCTCTCTTGGAATAGGAAGGAATGGCAGACGCGATGGTGCTGAACCCATAGGAGTAGAGGCATGCCTCCTGGCAACTCAGGAATTTCGCCAATCGTTCCTCGAAGAAGACGTGGACGTCTGTGACAAAGGAAAGGAAGGCAAGATAAAGGTTGCATATTCTTTCAACGACAATCAGGAGTTTGCGATCATCATCGAAACCGGTTGCTTGCTTTTGCGATTTCTCAACTCTTGGGCTACGGACAATCGCATTGTGTTTGATTCAGATCACTGACGTTCATCATCGACTCATTGATCATGAACAACAACGTGATAAAGGAATCAGAGGAGGTCTCGAATACACTCCCAGCACGAATCGCATGTCACCGAAAGGATTCAAATCACACTGCTGCACCCAAGACTTCCCAGCTTCCACAAAAGTAAATCGCACAACTACGTTCAAACCAAGTAAAGGACACCTAAAACCCGCAAACCCACAACCCCCCCAACACTCAAATGAACGCCACTTTTAACCCGCACGCAACCACGAAACACATGACGTCACGACCTGCAGTGCCATAGAATGCCCTCGGACCACACGACCCGACCCCAAACTGCTCCAAGCTCTTCACGCTCGCATCTTCCACGGATGGCTCCTCGTTCAGGCATAGGTAGTCGTGCGTGGACACGTTCAAGCACTTCCTCCCTTTCACCACCATGTACTTCCCTATCTAATTAAATATAAAATAATGGTAAAATGAAATAATATAAAATAATATAATAATGTAATGTAATAATGTAATATAATATAATTATGTAATGTAATGTAATGTAATATAATATAATTATGTAATGTAATGTAATAATGTAATATAATATAATAATGTAATGTAATGTAATAATGTAATATAATATAATATATAATATAATATAAAATGTTACATATAATAAAAAGTGAAATTTTTTTTATATAATAGTTATTTCATGAAAATAAGTACAATTTTATATTAAATGAATTAAAACGAATACCTGCCTGCCCCCACCCACAGGAAACAAGAAAAAAGTTAGTAAGAAAAAGGTTAGTAGTTGGTAAAAGTTACCTTGGACTGTATGATGCGCGGATTGAGGGCAGGGTGATCCGGGTCAAAAGAAGGCGAATTCCTCGGGACCAATGGCTCTGGCTGCCACTCCTCTATCAGATCATCCTCCTCCTGTTCACACCAGACAAACATCAGGTCGAAGCGACTAGAATCATGTTCAATGAAAACGAATACTGGTCCGTTATGGAAGGCCATATTAAAATAGAAATGAATGTAAAAATTTTACTGCCGACCCATTTCATAAATATATATATATATTTCCAACCATTTCTAAATGACAGGTCGCAATATCATAAGGATAATCAATAAAATATCCAATACCCAAGCAGAAAAAAAAAACCTTTTCCGTGAGAGGTGCCTTATCCTTCGGATTATAGCTCTTGCGGAAGATGAGCCAGAAGACCCAGATCAACAGCAGACCCTCCACTACCAGGTGATACAAAGGAGCCTGCAAAGGACAAGGCCAGAGAGGTCCAGGCTTCGATAAAGGTCCACTTCGACCGAGAAACCGCGAGAACCGCGAAACTCTCACGTCAATGATCGCATGGAAAAGCTGCACGATGCTCGGCGACTCGTTCGGGACCCAGTGGCCTCCCATTCAAGCGCTCGATTTTTCCCCCAAGTCGACGAGAAATCCTCTGCAGATAAATTACCATCGGACGAAAAAATATTTATTCCAGAGGGATAAGGTGTGCATGAGGCGGAAGAGCTCCCCACCTGATGCGGAATCTTTCTAGTCCTCTTGAAAAAAGATAATGAAAATTAATAGCAAGCCAATAATAAATTAAAATTATAGATAGAATGGAAATATATATCTTTTTAAAGTTAAATATAATTTTAAAATTTAAGAAATACACGAATAAAAGCATTTAAATAAAGTACAATAATGAGGCAAACTTTGCCATTTCACCAACTGACGAAACGCCAATTCAAAATGCAAAATTAGTATTCCAAATTTGACATAAGATTCCAGTCATGAAAAAAAAATCGAACTTCGCTCCCCAAGTCTTGCCTGTCAGTTGATTGTGCAATGCAACGAGACCGGATCGTGGTACCTCCAACTAAGACCAAACAGCTGGGCAACCACGAGGGCAACACTGTGGGTTCGAGCGATTGCACAGAGTCGCCGTTAATTCCCACTCTCCTCCAACTAAGAAGAGAAAAGAACTCATGTCAACGATGCTAGCGAGCAGATGGGTTAGGGGAGAGAAACTATGCAAAAGTTACGACAATGGCGAGCCCAAGATTGCGAGGAAAATAAAGAGTAACGGGAGACAACAAGTGCTAAAAATATATATATATATATTAGATAAATAAAATGCAGAAGGTCATTGAGGTTTTGAATTTTGTGAATGGTCGGGACGACTCCCCATTGCAAGTCTCTGCCATGCCCTCAAGAGTATCTGATGCAAACAAATTCACCGCGGCGGGGTTTCTCTTCAGAAATCTCTTTATTGCGAAACCCACAAGCAAGAAGCGAAAGCGCCCGGGTCGCCGTTTCTGGCGACTGCGGTGACGTCGTCGAGGCCGGACACGAAAGGAAAAAAAATTAATTCTTGGATGATCCAAGATAATCCAAGACGGTGACACGACTGCGCCATCCCTGCTTGAAAATGCTGAGAAGAAGATGAAGCAAATTCGCTTCGCGGCAAAATCACACGAAGCAAAGACAAGGCCGAAGCAGAGGTCCGAGCGACAACCATTGCCCAACGAGGAGAAAATCCTCAATCGCCTGAATATTGAGAACGATGGAGAGAATCCAAATCGCCTGCAAATATATGATGCAGATGTGCTGCAAAAATCCGATGATCCCCTTAAGTCGTATCGACTTGAGGAGCTTTTTCGGCGGGTCTGGCATGGATATGGGCGACCACATCAAGAAGTGAGAATCACCTCTTCTATCACACTTTTCTCCGATTCGCCTTCAGCTTTGCAGAAACAGACGGCATACGCGATGGAAGAAAATCATTGCGGCCGAGATGGAAATATATAATATATATATATATATATAAAGTCTAGATTAAGCTTTCGGTACTCTCCAGGACCTTGGACGAGCTGCCCGTCAAGGGCAGCCTCTACGTAATATTCTTGCAAAAAGAAAAACATTTGAGGGTGATATTCCAGGTCGTATGTCGCGTGGCCCGTTTCCGTCAAATTCTTCAACGAAGACGAAAATATCAGTTGACGAATGAAGGCGGCTCGACACACACACCAACCCTTTAGTTAGAAGGTGGCAAGAGATGCTTCGAAACCTCTTCGGTGTTCATAATCCACTCGACTAATGGCTAAGCCTGGTTCACTATCTGGCAACACTGGCGACTCATTCCTCTTCCCCAGAATGCAAAAGGAAACTAGGCAGCGATTAAGATTTAGGTTAATTCTAGTCCCCGGATGGGAATCTGCTTCTTCCAACCTGAAAATGACGTTTCGTTTTTAACTCGGAACGCAAATTCTTCAATTGCTATATTTCTTGAGTTTTTTTTTTTTGCAAAGATAGAGTCCTTTAAAAAAAAAAAAAAACTGCCAGCCTTCGAGAAACGCCTTTTAACGCCTTTGGCGGAGTTCCAGTCATCTGCAATTCCAGAATTCATTCCCGATTGTGGAGTCACGAGCGATGACCATGCATGCACATGACCATTTGGCCGATGTCTGCGAGCATGACTTTATATTTTTTAAAATTGCAATAATATAGTTATATAATGAATTATATAACAACATGAATCTGAATGCGATGAGAACATTTTAAATAAAAAAGAATACTTTCAGCAAGAAACTCATGGGCTTCCATACGTTTTATATCATAAAACTTATTCCTTTTAAATAGCATATGTATAAAAACCCAGCCAGGACATTTCCCTTTCCCTTGTTTTGTGCATTCAAGAAAAATGCATGTTTGGTCTTCCGAACCTTTGGTCGGGGTTTGGAGGGTCGACAGTGAACTTTGTGAACCCGGGGAGAGGAAGGAACGGGGTGTCGGAGGTGTGGTCCGTATCGAGGATGATACCGCGAGCGTTCTTCTTCATCTCGGTTTTACATCCATCCTCGCACCGAAATATTCCTCGATGAGGGACTCTGCAGCAGGGTCGTGATTATGGGGAACGAAGGCGTTCAGAAGCCTTTGGAAGAAGGACATCTGACTGGGGAAAGGAAACATGGAAAGAGGGACGAAGGAGGTGGGGGCTCGAAGTCCCAGGGAGGTTCCCACTTGGGGGAACACTCCAGAAGGGCTCACATACATCCAGGGAACATTCCCCATAGCCCGAATTGCACCGAAGAAACATTCGGATAAGAGGACCGAAAGTACGACAAGGTCAACCTTCGCCTCATTCCCACTTGGGGGAACACTCCAGAAGGGCTCACATACATCCAGGGAACATTCCCCATAGCCCGAATTGCACCGAAGAAACATTCGGATAAGAGGACCGAAAGTACGACAAGGTCAACCTTCGCCTCTCCCTTGCGGTAAAGTAGGAACGGTGCCAAATCCGAAGTCAGCTTACCAATCTAAGGTATCAGCACATGAAAAAAAAAATCAATTTGAGAGTAGCTGCTTCGTCCCCCTCTTGTTAACACATGTTGCCGGCGGCAGAGGGTACCATGGTGCTGCTGCGGAACCCCCGACAAGTCGAAGATATGAAGGAAAAACAGACATTTCACACTTCCCATCGGCGTCAAACGGAAAAAACGGTATAGGAGGATGAATCCCCGTCAATCTTCCTCTTCCACCAAGACACGGCCGAGAAGGACAAAAACGCGCAGTGCAAGGAGTGCGTGCCTCCCTTAGTGAAACGCCTTTTAACGCCTCCTTGGCGAAGTTGCGGAAGTCTGCAACTTCCGGATTCATTCCGGAATGTCGAGTCACGGGCGATGACCAAGGGCAAGAGCTTATTTTATTCCGTGACCGACGCGTCAAGACTTGTAATATTTTTAACCACTTCCTGCTGACGTCGTCGCCGGGACTCACTTCCGGCAACGTCGTCCAGTTTTTAATGCAAGGGTAAAAACTCATAATGTGCAAGAATGTAATTCCCAGAGCATCTCGTTTCTCACGAACGCGTTGAAATGAGATATTAAGGAATCCGTCATTAGAAAAAAAAAAAACTTGGTAAAACCTCGGGCTGTCACGATAGTTCGACGCATCATTACCACTATCGATGGTTTCGATTGTTTTTTCACCATCGCGATGTTTCGGGAAATGATTTTAAAGGGGAAATTTCCCATCGGATCGAGGCGGGAATACAAAACAGTCGGACCGGACGGGGAAAGGGGGAGGCGGCGTGAATGACACGGGCGAGCTATTTCTTTTCACGATAAAAATTCTGAAAATGCTCTGACTGAAGAAAGACACCAAGGGAAAAAAAATTTTAGGATGGGAGCCAGGAAATGGGAGAGGAGAGGGAGGGAAGACCGACATTTTTTTTCTCTTCTGTTTCTCGGCTCTATCTCATCAGGTGCATGCTGCGAAAGCGGCTTACATTTCTTCATTTACGTTTTTTCATTTTTAACTTGCCTCGGGGCATTTTACCTCTTTACTCAAGGTGAACCCAGAGTGAATTTTTCAAATGGACGTCGCTTATGTTGGGACTGTATCGATATTTCGGCGACCGCCGGTATGGCACCGTTGTCACTTTTGCTATCTGCTGATGCCGATGTCCAAAGGACACTGAGTAGAACGAAGAAAAAGAGAAAAAATTTTACGTGAACGGGCTTGACAACTGATTCTCAACGGCAATAACAAAAAATTAAGTCTGTCCTGAATGAAATGAATATTTACAAGCGTCTTTCAGAGAAAATGGCATAATCTGCACGAGTCCATTTTAATGCAGTAATTCCAGCCAGGTCCGTCAACGGATCGCAGCTACGGCAGGATTGAGCAAAAGGAGCCTGAACCCAAGAAACGTGTAGATTCGTGGAATTGGTTAACCGATTCTTCAAAGAGAAAAAAAAATGGCAAGCTCGAAAAGGGATCACGGCAAAACGTGTAAGAAGGAAAATAAGCACTTCCAGTAATGCTCTCGGCATGAAAAGAAAAATTTAAACAGAGGAAAAATACGCTGTCGCTACTAGTGAGGTCGTCTACCCTAAGAAATACGTACGTTTAAACATTACCGTTTAAACATTAACAGAGAGGTTCATGAGTTGAAGAAGAAAGCCCTATACAGAGAGAACCTTCAAAGTGTCGCACTGAACGCCAGACGAGAGACGACTATTCCTCCTACGAAGAGCATTCTCGTTTCAAATTAGCGAAATAATCATGAATGAGGGACTCGGCAGCAGGGTCGTGATAATAGGGAACGAAGGTCGAGAACCACTGATAGACGAGGGTGTTCAGAAGCCTCTGGAAGAAGGACATCTGACTGGGGAAAGGAAACATGGAAAGAGGGACGAAGGAGGTGGGGGCTCGAAGTCCCAGGGAGGTTCCCACTTGGGGGAACACTCCAGAAGGGCTCACATACATCCAGGGAACATTCCCCATAGCCCGAATTGCACCGAAGAAACATTCGGATAAGAGGACCGAAAGTACGACAAGGTCAACCTTCGCCTCGCCCTTGCGGTAAGGTTGGAACACTGGCCAAAGTCAGCCTACAGGCCTTGTCAGCATTTTTGAGCATGCCTAACTTCAATTTGAGAATACCTACTTCGTCCCCCCTCTCTTTACAAATGTTGCCAGCGTCAGAGGGTATTATGGTGCTGCTGCGGAACCCCCGACGAGTCGAAGAAATGAAGTAAAAACAGACCTTTCACATTTCCTATCGGCGTAAAAACGAAAGAAACAATATTGGGAGGAGACCTATCACTCGTCCGCCAAGACACGCCCGGGACGGACAAAAACGCACAGCGCAAGGAGTGCGTGCCTCCCTTAGTGAAACGCCTTTTAACGCCTCTTTGGCGAAGTTGCGGAAGTCTGCAATTTCTGAATTCATTCCGGAATGTCGAGTCACGGGCGATGACCAAGGGCAAGAGCTTCGTTTATTCCGTGACCGATGCGTCAAGGTCAATGACTAGTAATATTTTAAATCACATTCTGCTGAAGTCATCGCCTGGACTCAATAATCACACTGCCGGCAATGTCATTGAGTTTTTAATTCAAGGGTAAAAACTCAATTTTCCCCAAGCAGGGGGCCAAAGGATCTTGAAATCTCCAGAGAATCTCGTTTCTCAAGAACATGAAAGATATTAAGGAATTTGTCATTTAAAAAAAGCCAAATCCATAGCAAAGCCAAGGGAAATAAATAACTTGATGAAAACAAATAATGAAACCGCGGTTAGCAGTGGCCGATCCATTCAGTGGGAAATAGATACATTTAATCTGGATATTTACTAAATTAAGAGGATGACGCCCAGCTCGTACTTCTTGCTTCCTAGAGGCATTCTTTCCTCGGAACTAGTAGAGATGGTTCGAGAAAAAATTTAGGAACTCTGAATCCTTAATGGCTTATTTGACCATGTAAGTCGAGGATTGAGTTAATTTTGAACGAAAAATGGTAGGACTGATCCGGAGACAGTCCGTTGATTAGGCATGGGCCTTACTTTAGTGGGTCCCGTAGAGAAAGGGGAGGGGGGCGGGGTGTTGGGTTCATGTTGAAGAAAAGGAAAGCCTTTGAAAAATGGTTTTCACATTACTTCGTAGGTTCACTGTTCGGTGCGTTTCTACGTCTTCAAATACGGAAAACCAATTCTGGACAGAATTTTTCTGAAAAAGGCCGCTCTCAGTCATTATTGAATTAGTCATTAATTAGTCATTAGTGGATTCTTTTTAGGGGAGTCCCTGATCGGAAAGCAACCCCAAACGTTGATTTTGGGTGGGTTTGCTTTACGTGTCGTTGGACTTTCTTTGGCCTCGTCAGATTCCAGATGCGACCCGTTTCAGGCACACCATTTTCTCATTTAGGATCATCTGGTCCCAATCAGTAAACAGATGGGCTTCTGCCCGTTTTAAAAGATCGCTTCCACGGTGTTCATTCGATGCACAGAGGCTTGGGCGTGGAATGACCAAATTTTGCTTCTGCTTCATTCTCTCGGCTCCGAATCAGCGTCTGGTTAATCGCGACCTCTTCAAACGTTTCTCGATCGGAGCGCGAAAAGAATCCGTTCATCCTGCTTTGGCATCGTTGCATGCGAGATCTTCGCATTCCTTTCATCGATCGAGCCGATACGACACGTACCTCATCGAAGGACTCGCCATTGCAGCAAGTTTCGGTAGATTTCTAGATGGCTGTGAAGTGAGCAAACACCTTGAAGTAGTTTCCGATACTTAAAGCAAAATGAACTGATTGCGTCACTCGGAAATAGCACCTATAAGCCGATATATGCCTCAGACTATTTCTTTAAATAAATTACCGAAATTCAAAGAAAACTGAATGAATCTCATTCACTCCCTCTTCACGTAGCGTCATTCTCGCTACTTCCCGAGAGCCATTCGGGTCGAAAACATGGAAATAGAATCTGTTCATCAATGTGGGAAAGTATCCCAACTCGACTATTATAAATTTACATTATAGCATCGGGTGACTCCGTAGATCTATTTTACAAATTTTTCTGTCCTCAGAAGAATACTACATTCAAGAGGATTTTAAATAAAGATTGAAAAAAAAGCTTGGTAATTTTTTTTTGTCCCTTCAGACTCCTTGGTGTAGTTTTTTTTCCGCGCGAAAATACAATCGTACCGATTCCCACTGCTCAATCCCTTTGCCCTGATTGAGTTCAGCATAAAAGACTGAACAAATACCTACTTGCACCTGAATCCTAGTCAGCATCGCCCAGTATGAAATCGCAACTATTTACTTACTATTTTTCTTGAGGAAACCATTCAACAGAACATTACATTAGGACTGGGATGATATGAATCAACAATAGTCAGGTGACATTTTAGCAAGAATATGAAATGGCGGCGCACCAGATGACATGCGGTCCTTCGCGACGGAAGAGAGGCCCGAATTTCCACTCAAACCCACACCAAATCAACGTTTCCAATTCACGAAATGAAAATTTATTACACATCACTCATCACTCGGCAGATTCTAAAAGCAAGGGACGACGAGCGACGCTCAGCGACCGCGCCGGGGAGCCGACCGGCGAAGGACGTCGGCCACGCGCCGGATGTCCCCGTCGTCCAGCGCTGAAGAGACGACAAGTCGGATGCTCGGAGGTGGCATGCACACGTCCTCGTCCTCCACGTAGCAGGCTGAAGTCAGGGCCACCCCCATCTCCTCTGCCTGTTCCCCGCGAATGGATGGAACAAAGAAGCATGGTAGATGGTTGCACTCTCTCTCTCGCTTTTTCTTTTCTCCCCCAATAGAAAATAGCATCCAAGGAAAGAAAGCTAGAAGTGGACCGCGAACCTTGGCGACCATCTCTTGCAGAGCTCTCGAGTCATCTTTCCTATTCTCCGAACGGTCCTTAAACTGCAGGTGCTTGACCGGCGACACGGCATCCCCGACCAGCTCCATCCCCGGCACATCCCCCCACTCCACCTGCGCCTGGGAACAAACACGGACCATCAGGAAAACCGGTACACAGTGTCATTCGACGACGAAAGAGACGGACCTGAAGACAGTTCCGCCTGAGTCGCTCGATGGCGGCGATCCCCCGACTCGATTCGATGTATTCGAGGGCCGCCAGGGCTCCCGCTGCCAGCAGTGGGGGGAGAGCCGCCGAGAAACAATATCCTAAAACACGTAAAACGTCTTGCAATCGCACTTCGTGATTCCAATCGGAAAACCCGAGGAAGACTTGCCATGTCCGGAGATGCGTTGGTTGTCGACGATGAAGGAAGTGCCGACGCAGAAGCCCCCGACGCTCGACAGCACGTATTCCAACGTTCCAGTGATCAAATCCGCCTCTGAGTTCTGCACGAAACCTCACCCTCGTCGTAAGTCTCAGAAAACGCAGACCTCTCATCTACGAACGATTCCATGAATGAAACGTACCGGGATGCCGTAGTGCTCGAAGATTCCCCGTCCGGTCTTTCCTAGTGTCCCAAAGGAAATGCTCTCGTCGACGAACAGTCGCACCTTGAACTGCCTCCTCAGCTCCACGATCTTCGGCAAGGGACACAGATCCCCGGTGTTCATGTAAATTCCTTCCACGACCAAAAATCGACGAGTCACCTTCGCCTTCTTCGGGTTCTACACACGAAAAAAAAAATTAAAATAAAACTTGATCCCTGGATGAAATACATATAAATAAAAATCAAAGAAACACGATGAAGAGGCAGCACCTTTTCATCCCATCTCTGCTGTTCCAGAAGCAACTCCAGCAGATGATCCATGTCGTTGTGCCGAAAGTACCTGATCTCGCTGTGGGACGCAACTAGTCCCTTCTGGATGGCGAAGTTCACACCCGCATCCCTACAGCATACGTTCTCCATCCGACCCAGCTCTCTGACACAGGGAATCCACAGAAAGCACACTCACACGAAGATGACGTCGTCTCTCTTGGAATAGGAAGGAATGGCAGACGCGATGGTGCTGAACCCATAGGAGTAGAGGCATGCCTCCTGGCAACTCAGGAATTTCGCCAATCGTTCTTCGAAGAAAACGTGGACGTCTGTGACGAAGGAAAGGGGCAGTGACGTCAGAAAGGCAGAGGAAAGGAAGGCACGGTAAAGGTTGCATGTTCTTTCAACGACTATCAGGAGTTTGCGATCATAATTCGAAACCGGTTGCTTGCTTTTGCGATCATTTTTCAACTCTAGGGCTACGGACAATCTTCCGATGTTCGTTTCATGTCACCATCGACACATTGCCCACGAGCCACACCGTGAAAAAAAGGAATCAGAGAAGGTCACGAATACACACCCAGCACGAATCGCATTTCACCGAAACGATGCAATTCGCACCGGAACTGCACCCAAGACTTCCCAGCTCCCACAAAAGCAAATCACACAACTACACTGTTGGACAAAATTAAGGTAACGCCGTTTCACTTCAACATTTTAATTACAACAGTAAATTAGAAGGTGAAAATACATTACGTAATTTTACATGCAAATTCCGAATATCCACTCGAAATTGATCCACGTGCGTCGCAACTTGCAAATTAATGAAGCCTATGAATGGGCGGCGGCTATTGACTTCAACGAAGCAAGCCTGTTGAAAAATACAATTTTTCTTTTCATGATGTAATTATCTTAACCGTTAATACCGGTTCAAAGTTTCTCCTTTTTCATACACTAATCGGTAATAATAAATTGTATCCCCGTACAATTTTTCATAAACATACCTCACCAAATAAAAATGTAATTCTGGTTTTTGTGATTGTCGCCTCAAATTCGTCCCACCAGTGTACATTCAAACCCCATCAAGGACAGCTAAAAACCCCAAACCCCACCCCCACACTCAACCGAATACCAGTTTAAACCGCACCCCAAGCACGAAACACGCGAAAGACTTGACGTCACGACCTGCAGTGCCATAGAATGCCCTCGGACCACACGCCCCGACCCCAAACTGCTCCAAGCTCTTCACGCTCGCATCTTCCACGGATGGCTCCTCGTTCATGCACAGGTAGTCGTGCGTGGATACGTTCAGGCACTTCCTCCCTTTCACCACCATGTACTTCCCTATCTAATTAAATAGAAAATAATAAAATAAAATAAATTGATATACAATTAGTATTAAATAATTTTTATTTAAAGAAAAAAAATCACTTCATGCAAGATAAAAGAAAGTACAATTTTATATAAAATGAAGTAAAATATATAAAAAAAATACTGCCTGTCTTCACCCACAGGAAGCAAGAAAAAAGTGAGTATTTTACCTTGGACTGTATGATGCGCGGATTGAGGGCAGGGTGATCCGGGTCAAAAGAAGGCGAATTCCTCGGGACCAATGGCTCTGGCTGCCACTCCTCTATCAGATCATCCTTCTCCTGTTCACACCAGACAAACATCAGGTCGAAGCGACTAGAATCATCTTCAAGTAAAACGAATACCGGTATGTTATTGAAGGCCATATGAAAATAATACTACTAAAACTTTTATGTTTGACCCATTTCATGCATATACTTATTTCCAAACCATCTGCAAATTAGAGGCCAAAATATCACATGCATAATAGAAATTAAAAAAATATATATATATAACCGAGACTGTATAACTAAAGAATTAGAGCAGAAAAAAAAAACCTTTTCCGTGAGAGGTGCCTTCTCCTTTGGATTATAGCTCCTGCGGAAGATGAGCCAGAAGACCCAGATCAACAGCAGACCCTCCAGTGCCAGGTGATACAAAGGAGCCTGCAAAGGACAAGGCCAGAGAGGTCCAGGCTTCGAGAAAGGTCCACTTCGAGAAACCGCGAGAACTGCGAAACACTCACGTCAATGATCGCATGGAAAAGCTGCATGATGCTCGGCGACTCATTCGGGACCCAGTGGCCTCCCATTCAAGCGGTCGCCATCTCCCCTATTTCGACAAGAAACACCTGCATGGGACCTGACTACCATCGCATAAAATGCATTTCTTCCAGAGGGAAAAAGTGTGCAGGGGGAGAGGAGCTCCTACATGATGCAAAATCTTTGAGTCCTCTTTATACAAATAAAGGAAATTTTCACAATTTTAAAAACAATTTTAAATATTATCGAGTTCCAGAATAAAAGCATACAAGTAATAAATGATGCAAAATTTGTCATTCCGGCAAATGGAGGAACGCTAATGCACTGAACTCAAAATTTGACAAGATTCAAGTAAAGAAAAAAAAAAAACAGAACTTCACTTCCCAAGTCTGACCTGTAATTTGTTTGATCCAACGAGACCAGGACGAACGAGGTACCTCCAACCACGACCAAACAGATTCCAAGTCCTCAGCTGGGCAACCACGAGAGGTAACACTGTGGGTTCAAGCGGTTGCACAGAGTCGCTCTTAATTCCCACTCTCCTCCAACTGAGAAGAGGAAATAACTCATGCCAACGATGCGATCGAGCAGATTAGGAGGGGGAGGGAAACTCGTCTGGAGATGGAAACTGGACGCCACAAAAGTTTCGAAAATGGCAAGCCCAAGATTGCGAGGAAAGTAGAGAATAACGGAGGGCAAAATGGGGCAATGGAAGGCAAAAAAAAAGATAGAAGGAAAATAATGAGCAACAAAGGGAAAGTTAGGAGCAACAAAGGGCAGAGATGTTCTTAAAACACTCAACAGCAGCAGACGATTCATCGCGGCATATTCTCTTTCACATTTGAGGATGTTGGACATGAATTTTGTGAGGGGTTGGGATGACTCCCCATTGCAAGTCTCTGCCATGCCCTCAAGCGTGTCTGATGCTAACAGATTCATCACAGCGGTGTTTCCCTTCAGAAATCTTTTTATTGCGAAGCCCACAAGCAAGAAGCGGAAGAGCCCAGGTCGCCGTTTCTGGCGACTGCGGAGCGACTACAGCGTCGTCATCGATGTCGAACATACAAAAAAAAGGGGGGGGCGGGAAATCACTAAATTCTTTTTTTCACCCGGAAGAACTCTTGGACATTCCAAGACGGTCACAAGACCAGGGCATTCCTGCTTGAAAAGGCTGAGAACGAGATACAGCAAATACGCTTAACGGAAAAATCCCATAACACAAAGATGACCCCGAAGCAGAAGTCCGAGTGACCCGATCACGCACACAATATCACAACGAGAAAAAAAATCCCCAATCATCTGAATGCTGCGAACGATGGAGAGAAAAAAATTGGGTGACTCGATGAGGAATCAGACAATAAATCGTTTCAGACAAACATCCGTTTCGCCTGGAAATTTCGCGATGCCGGAGTTATCATACCAGATATATCATATACCTGGTCTCATTTCTTACGTCACACAAAACCTCGAACCGCGTGCCCGATTCTTTCACCGAAATCACTCAATCCACAAAAGAGATCCACTCACCCGGCAGTTCTCCTCGGTCACGTTCTCTCGCATTCCCGCATTTCCGGCTACGCAGCGCGGCTGCAGCCCTAAGCCACTTTAAATCGAGCATCACGAGCCCTGCCGCCAAACAATTTCCTGGCTGAGATCTGATGGCCGAGAGATAGAGAACGCGGCTAGGATTAGGTGGCTGAGACGTCTCGTCTCTCTCGCAAGAGAGCGATGGCGTCATGTGACCCATGTGGCAGAAAAAAAATCCGATGATCGGTGGGATTTAATCTTTAATCCGCGTACCTAACAGTCTCCGAGCCGGCCTCGGTCGAAGTGTCCAGTCCGTGCCGAAAAGTCTGCCAGACTCGTTAGTCGATCATACGGTCGCTGGATGGCACGATATGCCTTCTTTTAGGTTTGGTGCGCAATGAGCATTTTTTTCGCAAATTAAATAGTATTTCGCAGGAACTCGAAAAATGTTATGCGAATGGGTTAAGGAGCTTTTTCGGCGGGTCTGGCATGGATATGGGCGACCATATCAAGAAGTGGGAACCACCTCTTCCGTCACACTTTTCACCGATTCCCCTTCAGCTCTGCGGAAACAGACGGCGTACGCGGTAGAAGAAAATCATTGCAGCCGAGATGGAAATATACGGCTGGATGGGGTCCAGGGAGGGGATGGGGTCCAGGGAACGGATGGGGTCCAGTGAGGGGATGGGGTCCAGTGAGGGGATGGGGTCCAGTGAGGGGATGGAGTCCAGTGAACGGATGGGGTGCTTCCGTCGCTTCCGTTTCATCGAAGCGAATTCCATCCCGGTTTCAGGCAGAAAAAAAAGGATGTCGGAAAAAAGGAAGTTAGTCAGCAATATAAAAGTTGATTATAGTCCCCGGATAGGAAGCTGCTTCCTCCGGCACGAAAATTTAGTTTTGTAAACTCGGTGGAAAGGAAAGAAAAACTTGCTCGTAAGGTTCATATTCTTATTTCATACAAAGTGCATCTAAAAACAAAATGTCGGATGCGAAACTGTGAATTGAGCAGTTTCGGACACCCATTATAGAAATATAATGCCAGTTCCCAGACGATAGAAAATAAGTGTGCGTTGGAGCGAAGGTCGGGTCGATTCGAAAGGCAGTCGTTCCTACCAGCAAAATCGACGGTTTTATTGGCGACTCGGCCAAAAAATGTCATGGCCCATGTCATGCAAACAAGTGCCACGACATGAGCCATGGCACAACCATCGGCCCCCACAGAATCACTTCGACGTCGAACGAAAAACGTTAAAACGGACCCAACCTTCACCCCTCCATTAAAAACCAAGAAAAAAAAAAAGCCCAAAGAGCACGTTAATCGAATTGTACAATCTTGCACTATTCCACGGGAGGATACGGACCCCGAAAAAAATCACAGTCCCCACCGAGCGAATCCCCCTCCCCATGCCCTCCCCCCCCCCCGAGGGGCTCACTCCTTCTTCCTCTTCCCCTTCCCTTGCTGCTGGGGCTTCCCCGACCCCTTCCGGCAGGCGCACCGCCAGCACCACCGGAGCAGGAAGAACGCCAGGGCCAGCACCGCCCCGATCACCCCCAGGATGAAAGCCCACACGTCGATCAGATGGTACTGGTACCAGGTGAGGTCCCTCGCCGCCGATCGCAGGTGCGGCGCCCCCTTGTGCCGGATCACGTACTCCGTCCAGAAGACGGCTCGCTCCAGCGGCGTCTCCGGCTGGTCTCGCATGATCGCCGACCGCCGCTTCAGGTTCTCGCGGAAGCTTCATCGGTTAAGAAAACGACAATCGCATGAACCAATGGCGCGAATGGGATAAACGAATCGACCGCTCTCGAACTGAACATGCCCTTACGAAAAATCCCCCTGTAGTCCACCGAGGGACTATCCAAATCCTCCGGTGGATACGCATGTGGACCGACAGCCATGTGGAATAGTGTGGACTTAATGTGGACTGTCGTGGACAAGTCCACAGGGGGACTAATGTGGACATAAGTGTGAATTGTATGTGGATCCCATGTGGATCACACGTGGATTCATCCAAATCCTCCGGTGGACTTAGGGTAGTCCACATGTGTGGATTTTTCGCAAGAGTCATCTTTTCGGCGCAAACATGTTTGCGCCGAAAAGATGACTCAAAAAGAAAGCAGCTAAAGATATTATGTTTAGGATGAAAATGCACGTGACCTTTTAAAATTCTTCCCGTCGAGGTAAGAAGTAAGCGAACGGTAACGGCCCGGCATCATGCCACCCCAGCGACCCCAAGTACCAACCCGCTTACAATTTTTCAGAGAAAACCTGAACAAATCCCGATATCCAAGAAAACCAGAAAAAGACGGATCACCTGGGCTCATCCATGACCCTCTTGATCGTCTGATAAATCTTCTCCGGCGTGAGACTGACCCACTCCAGCGTGAGCCCCGCCCCCTCCAGCTCCGTCTTCTTCATATTGAGCATCTGATCCGCCCCGATGGGGATCCCCACCACCGGCACCCCGTGGTACGTCGCCTCCTGGGTGCTCAGCAGCCCCCCGTGCGTGATGAACAGCCGCAGCTTCGGGTGACCTGGCGGAAACACGTCGCGGTCGTTTCAACTTTCATTCTTCCACATTTTTGCCTTTCGTCAAATTTCGTCATCGACGCAATCCCAGATCAAGCTCGTACGTTCCACCCCCACCGAAAATTAATCAGGAACTTTCGAGGAAAGTTCATTACCGAGCAGGTCCTGCTGCGGGAGCCACTTCGACAGCTTCACGTTCTTGGGCAGATCGTCCATGTGCTCCGTCTCCCACTTCCAGAGGATCTTCTGGGGGAACTTGGCGAACGCCTCGATGAACATCTTCCGGTATTTCTCCGGCATGAATTTCCCCTGGACCGCGGATCCCAGGCTGAAGTAGATGAACCCGTGCTCCCCGCTGCTCTGCACGTAATCCTCCAACTCCTGATGTTAAAAAAGAAAAAAATTGATTTAGCCAATTAAAATAAAAATTTTTAATTGGCTAGATCGAGGCCCGCGATGGTCTCACGGGTCGGAGGGGATCGGGATTCCGAACGTGGAGGGGTCCGACCGGGACGAAATCCGGGGTCAGAGGTCGGGGGTCATCGCATCCTATCACGTGATTGACCAGCACCAAGGTCACGTTAATCCGAGCGCTTTCGATGCTCGGGATGCCCGGCCGAAATTCCTGCAGCGCCGCGTTCATTTTTCGCAAGAGGTAACGATCATAAAAGAGATTGTAGCCGAGTTCCGCCAGCGTGTTAACGGTCCTTTGCCAGAAGGGCATCCGGTCCGAAAAGGGCAAGGCTATGACGGGACAGAACGACGTCGGCTGGTGAAGGCCGAGCTGGTAATAATTCGGGTAGAAACCCCCCGTCCCGAATAAAATCACGGGGACGTCGTGCTGGAATAGCAAGGGAAGATGGCAGTCGCTCCAGAACGCGTCCAAAACGGCCAGATCGTGCGAATCCCGCGATAAAATGGCATCGACGATCGGCAGAGCGATTTTGCACGCCCGGATGGCATCGGGAAGGATCTTCCACAGTCGCTCCGCGTTCCCCGTGAAGCCAGGCTCCAACGGGGTGCCGAGACAAAACTCGGTCGTTCCACTCGACCGAGGACAAGCGCGGTCAGACGAGACCAGGGTCACGTGATGATTCCCGGACAGACCACGGGCGAGCACCCTCAACAAAGCCGTGTGACTCGGTGCACCGAACGGTGTCAGCAGCAGCACCCTTGCACCACGGGACACCCCCACGTGCAACAAGAACGCACCCACGGACAGAAAAACCCACGAGGGCACCATGGTGCTCCCGCGACATCCCTCCGAGTCAAAAGAAGAAAGAACGGAACTTTCACATTCCCTTCCCACCGGCGTCAAACGGAAGAGAATTCCCGTCGCTCTTCCGCCGAGGCAAACCCAGGCACACCCGAGACAGACAAAAAGTGTGACGCAAGGAGTTCGTGCCTGCCGCGGTGAAAAGCCTTTTAACGCCTCGTCGGCGATGTTGCACATATCTCAAATTTTTTTTATTTATCGAAGCATGCCGGGATTCACGGGCGATGACCGAGCTTCGTTTATTCCGTGACCGATGCGTCTACTAGACGGGAACAACGACTAGTAACATTTTTCAAACGCATTCTGGAGAATGTCGTCGTTGCCGGAACTCATCAATACCAGTTCCAGGAATGTCCTTGAGTTTTTCTTTAAATTAATGCCAGGGTGAAAACTCATTACGTAAAAAGTATTAAATATACAGAGTATTTGATTTCTCATAAATCACAGCGAAATAAGATATTAAGGAATTCATCATTTAAAAAAGTAATGACAATGGAAATAAATAACTTGATAAATACCAAGACAAACAAAGCCCTCAAGATTCCAGGGCAACAGAGGAAATGTAGCGGCGAAAAAATAAACAGCGGAGTGCATGCGGTGCAGAGATGTTTGCGCCGAGCACACAGACTGTTGAGTGCGGGGAGGGACCCACATGGAGGGGGGGGGGGGACCACATGGGGGGAGGGACCTACATGGAGGGGGGGAACCACATGGGAGTCAGGAGATCAACGATTATCAAGCACTGGATTAGATAAGACGCTGTTGGATGACGCCGCAGATGCAAATAAAAAATGAATATTTACAAGCGTCTTACACTAAAACAGGCACTCTCGGTGCGAGCCCATTTCAAAGGTGAATCCAACCAGGTCCGTCGACGGATCGCGCAAAAAGAACGACAACGCAATCGGATCAGAACGAGGAGCCTGAACCCAAGAAATCTCCAGATTCGTGGAATTGGTTAGCCGGTTCTTCAGAAAAAAAAAAATGTCTAGCGTGAAAAGAGAACACAGCATAACATAGGCGCCGACTTTTAAAAAATATTGGGGGGGCAAGTTCCTATTGCCCCTGAAATAACAATGACGCAGTTATTCCAGGATCCATTGGGGTAGTTCAGTATTATTATGGTAGCATAGTGACGAGCCGGGGGGGGGGG